AACCACCCAAATTTATGATTTTGAACGTCGACTATGCACTCAAACTCGGTAATTATACATCGTGGAAAAGTTTTATATGACTCAAATGAATCCTAAAGAATTTGTCCACTACACTGCATACTCAATTTAACTACAGGGTGTCCCAAAAACATGGGAATTCAGTGACGAATTCGATATCGTCTTTGTTATGAATTAGCATTGTAATACCTAATTTCAAAAGCCATAATATTATTATGTCTGCTAAAGTTTATTTTATGAAAAGGGTAAGACTGTAATGATGTGTCTATAATGTCACTATACTAAATCAAAGAATTATTTGCAAAGACGATTTCGAATTCGTCACTGAATTTCCATGCTTATTAGGACACCCTGTACCTTACAAAGCCGGTGTGTCCCTTTAAGTTTAATAAGTAAAAATGTATAATTTCGCAATTTTTGTATTTAATGACTTGGTTTGTTGTTATACAACGTGCTCCAAGAAACATTGTAATTTTAAATTGTCTTTGATCTGCATGGGATTTTAATTATAATAATCAACGAACAACAGTAATTATCCTGGGCTTTATGAAAAGTGATTTTCCAATTTAGAACTAATAAAATTGACAGAGATATTGGGAAATATATTAAATCAACATTATCCTAAGTCTAATATCTACGTTAATTCTAAAGACAAAAAGAAGGAAGACCACATTTTGGAAGCCCAAAAGACGTACATTGTACAATGCTTCAGCTATATGAAATTAAAGATGACTTGTAGGTCGTCTGTTACTGTCCATGTTTATTGGGACATTCTGTAGATTTTTACCTCCGTAATTAAGGTTGGCCAAGATGGATCGGGAACGGGAGGAGGTAGCTGCTCAACAAGAAGCAGCAATGCTAGCAGCTCAATCTAGAGCCAAGCACAGAACCGAACCTTCTCCTCTTGCTCAAATCGATATTGGAATATTCTTCCGTAAGATTGTCGGTATTCTCACAAGGTAGGGTAGAATGAACTAATAGAATTATGTTTATATAAAATGTGAAATATTATTTAAAAAAATAATTGTTCAGAAATTTCTTCAACATGAAGTTTGCAGCTCTGGCCATTGCTTTCATAATAAACTTCCTTCTTCTATTCTACAAAGCCACAGCTATTGAAAATGACGATGATAATGATAATGATGAACTATCTGAAGACCAGGAAGCTGATGATGGTTCTGGCGAGGTTAAAGAGGATGACGGGGAAGATGATGATCCTGAGGAATGGATTCATGTTGATCAGCAGTTCTATTACATCGAGTACCTTGTCTCAACTTTTGCAATCATCCACGCTATCGTCTCATTCTGCATGGTGATCGCTTACTACAATCTGAAAGTTCCTCTTGGAATCTTCAAGCGAGAGAAGGAGGTTGCACGAAAGATGGAGTTCGAAGGTTTATACATCTCCGAGCAACCAGAGGACGATGATATCAAGGCTCATTGGGACAAGTTGGTCATTTCTGCTAAATCCTTCCCCTGCCTTTACTGGGACAAGTTTATCAAGAAGAGAGTTCGACAGAAGTACTCAGATCAGTTCGAGTTCGATCAGATCAACACTATTTTAGGGATGGAGAAGAGTGCACTGTGCTCTCAGACGGAAACGGAGGACCGGGGAGGAATTATGCAGGTCTTCCTGGGGATAGATTGGAGATATCAGGTGTGGAAGGCTGGAGTAACTGTAACAGACAACTCCTTCCTCTATCAACTCTGGTACTTCATATTCTCTATCCTGGGTAACTACAACTACTTCTTCTTTGCTGCACATCTGATTGATGTAGCTGTAGGAGTACCTGCTCTCAGGATCATCCTGCAGGCTATCACACACAACGGGAAGCAGTTGGTCTTGACCGTCATGCTTCTGACCATCATCGTCTACATCTACACCGTGATAGCGTTCAATTTCTTTAGGAAGTTCTACGTATCTGAGGAGGAGGAAGGAGAACCTGATGCTAAATGTCATGATATGTTGACTTGCTTCGTTTTCCATCTGTACAAAGGAGTTCGAGCCGGAGGAGGTATCGGAGACGAAATCGAGCCTCCGGACGGAGATGATTATGAGTACGTCAGAATACTCTTTGACATTTCATTCTTCTTCTTCGTTATCGTCATTCTTCTTGCAATCATCCAGGGTTTCATCATTGACGCGTTCGGAGCACTCCGAGACCAAATGCAAGGAGTAGAAGACGAACTAGAAAACAACTGCTTTATATGCGGGATAGGAAAGGATTACTTTGACAAGGTTCCGCATGGGTTTGATATCCATGTGCAGAAGGAGCACAACCTTGCAAATTACCTGTTCTTTGTTCAGTATCTTATTGAAAAGGATGAGAATGATTACACTGGACAGGAAACCCTAGTCTGGGATATGTATCAGAACAGGTAAACATTTATAAAACTATATTAAAACCCTGACAAGAGATTTTAAGAAAGATAAAGTATTATCATGAACTATCTATTTCTCAGGTGCTGGGATTTCTTCCCACAAGGAGACTGCTTTAGAAAACAATACGAAACAGAACTAGGAGGAGGCGGAGATTAGGGCAACTAGGAGGAGGCGGAGATTAGGACAACTAGGAGGAGGCGGAGATTAGGACAACTCGGAGTAGGCGGGAATAGGAGAAACATAGAAACAGTGATATTTAAAGAACTATATATATGAATTTTCGAGAACATTTGTTTTTTAATATCATTGTTTAATTTCCAGTATATTCAAGCGAAGGAACTGATAACTCGCTACGGTTCTTTTCAAACTTAAATCTTTGCAACCTAATGTCGTAGATGTACCTCTAATATATCATTCAAAGATTAATATTCAACTTTTAAAATATCAAGGGTTTATACCATCCGCTTGTAAAGATAGGTATTTGAAAAATAGAGTTTGTGGCGAGTAATCAATTCCTTTGTAAAATGTGTATTGTACGCTTCAATGATTTTTATCAATGCTAGACAACTATAAGAATTATGGTTTTGAGAACAGTTTAATTTGTTCAGTAAAATAAGATTCATTTAAATGTTATAAAACAATATAAATATGCTTCTAGCTAGCTCCAAAGTAAAATAAAGAAAGATGACGTGTACAGAAATTTGTCCATGGGCCGTTACTGTTCTAGAATATTTAAAAAAAAAATACTTTTTTCTATTATTCCTTTCACCAACATACGATAAAAAGTTTACTGCTATTCAATAAAAGATTTGAGATGAAAATAAATCATTCGGTTTCAGTCTGGAATTAAAAAGATTTAGAAATCCCGAAGATAAATGGTTTTAGAGAAACGGAAGTTACACAAATTTATTTTTTCCACAGTTTTGAGAAAGAGGTGTAGATTCAGGTTTACTCAAGCATGGTGAGGCTTAAAGGGACTGTAGTTTAATTTAAAGTGACCCTCCATTGCAAAGATGGTAATGTCCGATTTACAACGGTTCCCTTAAAGCTTTGTTTCATCAAGCAATGTTTTTGTTTCGCTGAAACCTCTTATTTTAAACAATAAAAACTCTTCAGATTAAAAATGACTTATGACTCAAAGTTGTAGAATGTTTTTAGAATTGAACCCTGTATAAACTATATTGTGTATGTTTAGTGTAGAGTATATCCAAGTATGCAGTATCAAGTGTAGTCTGATTATATTCTTTACATTCGCCAAAATACTACTAGTATTAGATTCATTATCATTAGGAGCATTGCCAGTATTTGCAGAGGGGGGGGGGGGAAAAGGGTCGAGTTAGGGAAGGGGCTTTAAAGGAGGCTTAACCCTACTAACTTTTCAAAAAAAAAAAGGGGGCTAAGAACCCTAGCCTCATCATTACTAAAGAGGGGGGTGCAGGAGTACTATTCTTTGTTCGTTAACGCGGAGATATAAAAATTTCGTTCGAAATTGACCAGTTGGAACAGATCAAAGACGGTCTTGAAATCTTACAACTGTCATGTTTAGTGGGACACACTATATTAATAAGGTTTAGGATGTGGCATTCTCAGGATAGGATTTTGAGCCTCGAGTGTAGACAGTCAAGGAACAAGTTTTCACGTAAAGGGTTACCCACAAAGAATGAGTAGGGAATTTATACTGTCTGTCACCCTGTATCCATGGTTCTTTATTTACCAAATCATTAAATTATCCATTAAACAACTAGAATCAAAATAGTAGACTTAATTCAACCTTGGAATTATGATATTTTAAGCGTTTTAGATCGTCTTTATTATCCTTTGTGGGTAACCCTGTACATAATCTTCTAAAAGGAAGAGGCTAATATTGTTTATGCATGATCTGCACGTGTTCTAAGGTTCTGTAAGACTGTTAAAACCATACGCAGGAGCCAGTGCTTAGGATCCGTTGGATCCGCAAAAATTGCGGATCTACGGATCCAGAGCTGGGAACTTTAGAATGGATAAACTTTAATCTTGACTTCTTGATCCGAATATCCACTGTGGAAACTTTTCATTTTTGTCCTAATCCACTCTTTTTCTCTCTCCCTGGATATCCGTTGTTTTCTCCAATGAGAATATTTCTGTTCTCTCATTGGTTTCCCACTTTTATCTGATTGGCTGCTACAGTTTCGCAGATGATTAAAATTAAATATTAATTTGAATTTTATCGTTTTTCATACACTTTTAAGATAATCTTGCAAGATTATGTTAATCTTGAGATTATCAAAAAGAGAGGATCAAGCATTAATCCGGCCCGATATCCAGCATTCTAAAGTTTTCAGCTCTGGTCCAACTGGTAAAATATCAACCAAAAACTGCTAAAAAACTTTATTAATCTCAATACCCTAATCTGAACTTTTGAAAAAAGTAAGATCATAACATAAAAATTTCCTTATTTCCGAATGGTTCATCAAATTTTAGCATAAATATAAGCGAAAAAAACACTAATATTTTGAAAATTCTGCTTTATTAAATTTTTATCAGTAAATCTTGCAGAAATGACCTGGATCCGGATCCATATTTTTCCATTTCGGATCCGTATTCTGACTAAAAATATATGAAAATAGTAAAATAATTTATTGAAATATGAAATATTCTGCGGTATATATATATAAGACAAAAAAGATTTGAATCTAGAAAAAGGTTTGTTTCATTCATACAAAACAATGTGCTGCACAAATTAAATAATGTACATTAGCAAAATTTAAGTCAATAATATTAAAGGCAATTGAAATGCTTCCTTCCCTAGTATCTAAACAACAGGATGATTTTAGACAATTTTTATTGTTGTTTGGCGCCATTATTATTCAAATATAAATAATAAATTAGAACTAATTTTGGCTTGAGATAGGTAATAAAAATTGGTGAAAACAAATAAGACATCAAGCGATTATTCTACAATTTCAATCTGAAAATTTGTATTTATGGTTCCGGCTTAATTAATTTTTCCTTAAAAATAATATTCAAACTGATTCGCAAAACTGATAAATTTTCATTTAAATGAAATTTTTTGTTTGAAAAAAATAACACTTTACTCATAAAAGGCGATAAGCCAACTTGATCAGTCGAAAAAATGTTTAAGTTAACTCAAGATTTAAATAGTTCATATAGTTTCTCTGCACTATCAGCAGTAGCTATCGAGTCTTTTGCTTTTAAAATAAGCCAAAACAATTTTCAACAGTAACTCGCTCTCTATTCGTCAAAAAAATATTGCAATCAATTTATCAAGGTTTTACCAAACCAGTGACTTTAACAATTTAAATTAAAACAACCAAAATGTAAAAATAAATTATATTATCAAAAACATTTAACCTAAATAAACCAAAAAAACCCCTAGAATTCGACCTCATTAAACCAAAAACATTAAAAAATGTAAGCCAAAAAAAACCTTGAACAAAAACACTAACAATAAAAAGCTACATATCAAAAACGCATATTATTTATATTAGATTGTTTGTATTTAAAAAAAGAAAATTTGTTTGTTTTTTAAGATTAAAAAGGAAAGTTAACAAAAGAGAAAGGAACATCAGAACAGGGTAAAAAATAAACATTGTGCATGACAATACGGGTCAATTATTTGGAATTAAGAAAGGTTTTAACTTCAGTAGAACATAGGGTGGTTTTATAAAATGAATCTTGAATGAAGTTAGATCAGCTTGGTTAAATTTGATAGTGGAGGTTTATTTTCTGACGCGTTTAGGAGTTCCTGAGGCCGTCGCTGTATCCTCCTTCAACGGCAAATATTCATGTTTATTTTTTTTCTTCTAAATTTAGTTTTACGAGAAATTATTAACCTTTTTCGGAAAAATTATATTTTGATGAATAAGTGCTCCTAAACCTTTATATCATCAGATCTTCCCCGTTTCCTTGGACGAGTTATATTCTCATCTTCTCCGAACCTAGACTTAGTATTTTCCCCTCGGGGTAAGGTTTCACAACTCAGTGCAGGCTGTGAGCTGCTACTAGAGCAAGGATGCATTCTCATCCCTAGATCAATCTTGGTCATCATCTTGCTCTTTCCCTCATCCATCTCTGTGAACTGAGACGTGTTCTCCGACAGTCTTCGGCTCATCTGTGCCAACTTCTCCTCCTGCTCTGCCAACCTGGCGTTCTGCTCATTGATCAGCTCGTTCTGTTGGTCGATTCTCCGGTCCAATTCCAACATCTTCTTGTTCTGGGACTCCACGGCAGTTTTGTAGGAGTCTGCCTGCTTCTTGAGGTCGCGGACCAGACGACTCGCTTTTACGGACGGTTTTCGGTTAGGAGTTTTTGCGGTGGTTTGAAGAGCGCGCATGAAACTTGGCCTAGCTCTGAAATAGATATAAATGTTAAAGCTATAATAATAGCCAGTCAATTATTGCTTTATGGGAATAAAGTCAAAGAAATCTATATTTTTAAAATCAAAATAAACTTTAAATAATAAAATGATAGAAAGCATTCTAGTGGCAAATCAAGATTGTTATGTTTTTAAAAAAGCTGACTATTTAAAACTTTATAACTGTGATAAAAACGTTTCATTTCAAACGCATCAATAGCAAGGGGTGTATATTTTCTTTAAAAATCAATTGTTGCCTCCCCCCACCTCCTTTTTGCAAATCATTCCCCCCCCCCCCCAAAGAAGTAAGGAAATGATTGCGCGGAGCTTTTTTAGGGTTTATTCTCATAGTTGGGAAAAATATATTAATTTTTGAATAAAAAGTTTTAAAAAATAATGTTACCAACATTATAATTCTAACCTTGGTACAGGTTCAGAAACTGCCTGGTTTAGAGGAAGTCTGCAGAGAGGTGTACTAGGAGGACTTAAACTATCAGAGTATCTCATACTAAGAGAGAATCCCGTCCCGGAAGAGAATATTCCAGAGAAATATCCGCTGTTTAGACGGTTCGGAGATGCAGGATACAATCTTAAACCAGGAGCTATCTTCTCATCAAAGTACTCCATCGCCATAGAGCTGATATCTCGCAGTTCCTAGATTTAAATGATATAGTCCCAATTTAAGAATTAAATATACAAGTTTTTAAAGATATGACGTTACGTGGGGATAGATTAAATTAATAAATATCGAGTACAAAAATATTTTACGTGACCTTACAGACATATGAAAATGTGTTAAAAATTATTGGACACATGAAATTATTTAAATTTTCAATATTATTAATTTCAATAACATAAAAAATGAAATCTCTATTTAACTTCAGTTAGCAAGTAAGTAACTACAGGGTTATTCTAAATAAACCGAAATAATATTAATATTGATTGAAGACATGGAAAGTCGTCTTTAAACTTAGAAATAATTATCGGCATTCATTTTCTGTAACCTAGTTTAAGCAATATTTTTTTACGAGACAAAAATCACAAAATATCCCTAGCCCTGCGATTTACAAAATGTGGTCTGCCATTTTTTGCTGTCATAATTACTAGAGCTATGAAGGATTTCGAACAAAAATCTTACTTAATTAATCATATTTACCTGGAGAACTTCACAAGATCTGTTCGGATTCTTGATGCTCTGAATATTCCTGAGAACAGAATAAATCTCATCAATAACCTTCCCTGGGATAAAACAGCAGAGATCCAACTCTATAAACTTCATGAACGTCATTCCTAGCAGGGAGATCCTCGTCTCAATAGCTGTCAGGATATCACAGTGTCTCGCCAGGGGATGATCTAGAGTACATGATTTTATTTTAAATTCAAATCAATCAAATGATTGCGGTGGACAAAGGACATCTTATTTATGAGTTTCATACATCTCGATTAAATATTTAAAATACATTTTATGTAACTAAAAAAAAAGATAAAAATTCTCATGATCGCTCGTTAGCTAATGGGTAATATTCAATTAACAAAGATATTACCACACTCACATTAAGGCATATCGATGACAATCTATCATAGCCACTGGACAGTGTGCATTGGTCAGTCATTGGGAATGCTCGAAACCCATTTAATATTCCGCAAAATGAGTTTAAACGTGTTAATTTACCTCTCCTTTCAGATTCTCTCCTGGGGAGTTTACCCTTCATCTCCTAGAAAAAATGATACATTTTTTCAAGAGCAAACATTGTTATTATCATCGGACAACCCGTCGTTTAATGAAGTAGGAGTCGGCGCTCCTCATCCGCTCGTAACGTATTCAATGATTTTAATTTTTGCCTCCCCCCCTCCCCGACATACATCAGAAAAATGACGAAATCGGATTAAAATATACCTTCAAACATTTGAGATGATACTTCTCCACCGCCTTGAACCCTTTGGTCAGCATTGACTTGCATATAAGGTTGAACTTGGTGCTAATAGAGCGAAACTTCGCAATTTCATCATAGGAGAAATACTTGAGAATATTCTCCAGAACCAGGTCCGGAAGTGTATCCAGCGCCATTTTATTTTCCATCTGTAAAGTATAAAACTATAAATGCTTTAGTTTCCAGTTTAGGAGATTATACAACTTTTCTTCTCCTCTACACCAGAACCTTCGGCCTGAACAAGACAAGAATGGTTAATTTTATTTAAGATTATTTATTGATTTTCTCAGACCTTTCTCCAAGTTACTAGGTATTTTAATGAACTGTCCATTAGATTGATTAAGTAAACTAACAGCCTGGCCAACATCGTCAAAAAAATGATAAAAGTGTATAAATTCAAGAATTTACATCATTTGACCTATTTTACCTCCAGAGCTATTGATTTTTGAACTCCTAGGACCCTTAGTAAAATATTTCCCTATAAAGTACTTTTAAATGAAAATAAACTTAATTTTCACCTTTTCTATTTGAATAAGTGACTTGATAAAAATATCTGAAGCGCATTGATTGTCCTTGGCACTTGTCTCGAGAAACATTGCTTTCATATCTCCAGCTAGCTTCTTACCCGCTTCCTGTACACAGGTTCAAGATTAGATATCCTTACAGGTTGTGTTATTAATAGTTTTGTTTTTTTTTAGATTAAAAAAAAGTTCCAAGATTTCAAAACTGTATTCTGTTAAAGTTTGCTTTGATTAAACTTTGCAATATTTCCATTCTAAAAATATAAAAAACGATCCAAACGATATTTATAACATAAAGCACGTTTTTGGATCGTTTTTGGTCCGTTTTTTTTGCATGTATTTTCTGATAAAAAACGAATAAAAAAAACTTAATGTACTACTTACAGGAATGGTTTACAAAATTTTTTAACGAGTGTTTTATATTTTTTTTTTATATATTCCTAAAATAAAATGGTACGAGGCATAATTAATAACCTCAAAAGTTCATCTTTTTTCTCCTTTCTCCATCTGCACGTCTGCAGATTATCTTCTTCTTGCATCCCTTTGCCTGTCCAGTTTGGCACTGCTTTTGAAAGTATGTTTACGAGTCGCTGTCTTTTCGCCATTAAGACAGTGCACGATCACCCTTTCATTGAATAGATTCACCTCTCCGTTTTTTGTTTTTTTGTTTTGCTTGTTTGTAAATGCTGCCTTAGCTCCACATTCTGTCTACTTGCATTTTCTAGGTCACCACTCCTAGAACTATGAGTTATTTAGTTTCTAAATGCAGCGATGGAGTAATAGCTTCCCTACTATGAACCGCACACTTTTATTTCCTATTCAAGATGGGTGGCTATTCAATGAAAGATAATCAAGTGATCCCGCTCAAAGGTAATTTGTTTAAGGATTCAACAGAGAAATGTCCTCGGGTCTCATTTTGCTGCTTGTGAGAAGGTTAGATGGTAGGTAGAGGAGAGTAAAGATGAGGATAAGGGTTTGTAGGAGTGGCGTATCAGGAATGTTTTGTTAAAAAAAACACTCCATATGTCTACATGTTATAATGTTTCCCAGTCCAGCGGAATTCCTTAGCTAGTATCGCATTCAGTTTGCACCGCTGCATGCAGAATGCGGAGTTGTCCCTTTATCGGCTGTGGCGCAGGGCCCTTCCAGAAAGGGCTCCGATCGCTAAGTGGAGTGGGTATAAAACCGGAATAGTTGTAAGACATATTAGCTCTTTGTTATTCCTATATCTTGATATTACCCCGGCTGTGGGTACTGTAGATAAGAAAAGAGGCTAGCTTACTGAGCACGGGGTTCGGGCCGCCTGGCCTTCCCTCTCTCCTATGTGTAGACACCTTTCTCATCGTCCACTGGAAACAGTGCAGAGATCTTTTTGAGCTGAGCTCTACTCTCTTAGGCTGTAGGAATGCAACTAATTTTTCAATATTTAAAATTAAGCAGCTCTTGAAGCAAAACATGGGTCGGAACTTATGTTTGGAATATCGTTAATCTTGAACGCTTTATCTCAATATCCAATATGGACACTTTTAAATTTGAGGATAAATGCTTGATCCCTCAACTAAAAGTATTCCTGCAAGTTATACGTAATCTGACATCAATGCTTAATTCCGAGATTCACATAAAATCTGACTTCAGGATACTTTGATCCTAAATGATCTTAAGGGCAGCAGCAGTGCGTAAATTTTTTTATAAGATAGATTTTGTTTTGGATATTACCTGCGTTATTCTTCTGTCATTATGAAGATCATTTTTGTTCCCGACTAGCACCAGAGGAACATTAGCGTTTCCAACAAGATCAACCAACTTGTCATATATTATCTAAATAATTAATCAAGATCAAGATTCAGGTCAAGGTCAAGGTCGACAGATTTGTCACAGGTTGGCTTTTTCAATTAGTATTGTTCTGAAAGTACCTGTACAACTTCAAAGCTCTTCTCACTGTCAATGGAGTACACAAGAATGTACCCGTCTATATCTACACTGTACTGTGTAGGGAAGATACTGTACTCGTCTTGTCCTGCAGTATCTACAACTAGAACCTCGTATTCCTGTCCACGGTATTTAAGAACCTTGGTAAATGTGTTCTCTATTGTAGGATCGTAGGAATCCACAAACTGACCCTAAACATTAAACATTCGTCTATATATAAAGATACCATGTACATTGTAGAAATTAGAGTACTACAGAGAAGAACACCGCAAAATATTTATAATTCCATCATCATCGGATCAAGATCTAGACCTTAGATCTTTAAATCTCAATATCCCTTCGGTATTGGCATTAAATGAACGTCGTTGAACTGCCTACCGCCGAGTCGCGGTTCAAAATTTTATCACCGATTTAAATCCTTCCTGAATCTTGAACTTTGAATCGGTGATTCAAATTTTAAACAGTGGTTGGTAGTTCAGCGACGTAGCTCAGATTCATTAAATTCGGTCCCAGGGAGGAGGCGCGTTGGAACAATGCCTGATGGGATTGCAACCTTTACTTTGTCTTAATGTATAAATACATTTTTAACGCGAATTATTTTGGGTGTACTATTATGAGAAAAAACTACCTGAAAATCTAACGAGTACTGCTAAAACTGTTACAATATTACTAAAGTCACACACTGTACTGCAAAACTGGTGTACTACCTGTACAAACTGTATGGCCAAGCTTGATTTGCCGACGGACCTAGATCCCATAACGGCAATTTTTCTCTGTTTCGCCGGCATTCTGTAAATTTACATCTGAAACAATAAATCTAAAATGGCGAGTTTATACCGAGTTTAGTTCCAAAGTCGAGGCGAGCTCGTTTCTGAAATCTGAGATTTACTTTGATTTCGTGACGTTTAATGAATTCGTTCAGTATGATGGTGAGGAAGAGGGAGAAGGTGTACAGACTCCAGGTGAAGACGGAGATATACTTTGCTTCGTATAGAACAAGGTTCACGGTGAGGTAGATAATCTGAAGGACGGATATACAGAAACCTGTTACAAGGATTTGCCAACTCTTCCTGGGTTTCAACTTCCAGAGTTGATCCGTCCTAGACACAAAGGTAAGGGAGATGAGGATAAGGTAGAGGGTGATAAAGGTCGAGTTTACGTCCTGGAGAACAAATAGTCCAACAATACACTCCTTCTCACATACCTTAACAAAAAACTGTTTTGGAATCCACTCATTAGAATTTACGAATTAAAAATTTACTGCATACAAGTTTTTTAGAACTCTTAATATAGAATAAAATTTTTTACGAAAAAAAATAGTCTAAAATGAGTTTAAAAGAGAAAATAAATTACAATTTGATTATAATTTATCATTCTTTTACTCCAAAGATTAGAGGGTGGAGTGTAGAATATGTAAGATAGATATAAAGTAAGGATGGAGAAGATAGGGATAGGAAACCTATCTGGAGTCTGGAGATAAGAAAGTGTGAAGTAAGGATGGAGAGAAAAGGGATGAGAAACATACCTGGAGAATATGGAAGATGGATATAAAGTGTGAGGTAAGGATGGAGAGAATAGGGATGAGAAACCTACCTGGAGAATATGGAAAATGGGTACAAAGTGTGAGGTAAGGATGTAGAAACCTACCTGGAGAATATGGAAGATGGATATAAAGTGTGAGGTAAGGATGGAGAGTATAGGGATGAAAAACCTACCTGGAGAATATGGAAGATGGATACAAAGTGTGAGGTTGAGGATGGAGAGTATAGGGATGCAGAACCCTACCTAAAGAATATGGAAGATGGATAGTGGATACAAAGTGTGAGGTAAGGATGGAGAGTATAAGGATGTAGAAACCTACCTGGAGAATATGGAAGATGGATACAAAGTGTGAGGTAAGGATGGAGAGTATAGGGATGTAGAAACCTACCTGGAGAACATGGAAGATGGATATAAAGTGTGAGGTAAGGATGGAGAGTATAGGGATGTAGAAACCTACCTGGAGAATATGGAAGATGGATACAAAGTGTGAGGTAAGGATGGAGAGTATAAGGATGTAGAAACATACCTGGAGAACATGGAAGATGGATATAAAGTGTGAGGTAAGGATGGAGAGTATAGGGATGTAGAAACCTACCTGGAGAATATGGAAGATGGATATAAAGTGAGAGGTAAGGATGGAGAGTATAGGGATGAGAAACCTACAACCGTAGCACCAGCTCGAATACCAGAATATATCTTGGGAGAGATGAACTGAACAGTTTTTACCTAAGAAATAGAAAATCTCATTTTAAGTGTATATCGAGTCTACATCACGTGCTTAGGAATTGTAATGAAAAATGAATTAATTCTGAACTCAATCTCAATATAAATCCTTGAAGTTGACATTTAAACTTTATATTATTAATGACAACAACATATCTTGACAGATTTACTAAAACTAAATTACGTAATTCAAAATTTCTTCTCAACGATGGATAAACTTAAAGATTATGCACTAAGCAGTGGTTAGTATTTACAAAATACAATTTTAAGTATAAATTAAAAAAACACACACTGATACTCTAATAATTCTAGATGAAAATTAGAATGAATCTAAGATTTTAGTTTGAGAATTGAAAGTCCAATCTAACCTGTCGATATGTTCCTGATATTTCTATCAGAAGCAGAGAAGAATAAGCCGGTTGAAAGAAGAGGAAGAACGAAGATACAGAGGATAACCTGCTGAACAGCTGATACAGGACTAGGCAGGGCGAATACTAAACAAAGTAGAACGGAGAAGGATAAGAAGAGGGAGGAGGAACACCAGAATTGAAGAATATGACGGAGAGCTAGAACATGTCTTCTACTGGCAACAATACTACCGTAGATAGTAACTTGATCATCTCGCTTGAACAGAACTGAGGATGATATTGCTGTGAGATGACTGGCCAGGTCGGTTGGAGAGAGTCCAGTCTGTGGATAAGAATACACGGAGACATGTTGACAAACCTAAAAACAATTCATAATAATACGAGCCGTCTCTTCTTCTTCCTTTCCACTCAGAGTCTCGTAAAGGAAAATCTAGTTTAAAAGTGGATAGAGGGGGGGGGGGGGCATGAAAATAGAAAGTTAAGAGGATATATTATTAACCAATGACTAAATTCTATAATCCCAAAGCTACCTGTGGATAGAGTGGTTCTACAGCTAGACTAGCGTCTGATGCTAGAAATATTTGCATATTATGGTAGTTAGCAGAGCTGCCTAGTGTTGCAACTACTTCACCGTTCTCCTGCATTATCTTAACCATCTCACGGGTAGATCCTTAAATACAAATAAATATATCTTGATATGATGCAAGTTTAATGAAAATACAAGATGCACACATTATACCATAATTTTTGTAACATAACTATGTTTCCACCTAAAGATGTCTCAGACGGCCGGAATTATAAAATAAAAACTAAAAAACATTATGGTCTTTTAAAAACTCTATAAGAGCAAAATCGTGATGGTTATCACAGACAGTACCACTATGGATATCAGGAAATAGGTTCCATGGAAAAGAGTCGTAAGATGTGTTCATAGTTCCAAAAAATAGTTTTTTTTTGTGTATTTTTAAATAGGCCAATAAGGTAAATTAAGTGTTTACATTTAGTATGGAAAATGATAAATCATGGGTCATGATGAGTTGAATGCAGACCTGGACTGCAGTCCGTAAAAAGACTGACGAGAAGAGGAACATTATCCATCTCTTGTAGATGAGGACGTATGTTCTCTATACCACAAGGAAGCTGAGCTCGGTTACTCATATCATACTGGAGCATTGTATTTACACTACTACTCCTGGTCCCTAGGCTCCCGTCACTATCTAAACTATTGAGAAGAGGTTTTTGAAATTCTCCGAACTTGGAGAAGTCTGTCCGTCGTCGGCCGTATTCATTAAATTTCTCTGGGACGGATGCAGACATGTAGTGCTTTACACTCTCCTTCTCAGTGGAGAACTTCTTTGTAACCCACTTCCTGTTGTACATTAGCTTCGTCTTGTTCTTCAGGTCGGAGTCGTTCCGGAGAGAGATGTGACAATTCCAACCACTCTCCAATCCCATCTTTTCAGAGAATACTCGAGATCTCAATTCATTCTCCTTGCTGAAGTGTACAAACCTGATACAGGCCTTCTCCAGGAGATCTATAAACTGAACAATATCAACCCTGGCCTGGTATTGCATCTGAACCATACCCAGAAATGTCTGGTTACACTGAGCTTCTATGCAGGAGTAAACCCGATGAGAAACCGGATCCAGAGATTCATCAGTTTCATGATCTAAGCCAAAATCGGGTCCCGTGGAAACCCTGTCTATAGAATCCATACTGCCCTGGTGGAAGTGGTTTATAAAGGGAGATGAGTTCTGCGGTAACTCCAGGTAATTATCTTTGTCCGGCCAGGGCGGAATACGGGTTATTGGTCTGTACGCGAAGGCAGAACAGTACGAGGTTAAACTAGCTCGGTGATAAAACTCGAGGATTTTTTTCCTGATTTCTTCATTTAAATTCACAAGATCATTTCCAACCCAAACATCAGTACAGGAGTCAACCACTATATCCGCGGTACCTTGAGTCACAACCTGGAGATTCTTATCGTATTGGTTCTCTACCACGAGTGAAACCATGTGTGGGAACGGAAACTTGAGTTTAGCCAGGGCAAGGTTCCGGGTGAATGAATCTGCTCTCGACGTTGCAGAAATAACAGGACGGAAAGTTTGCATTTGCTCTTTCAGCTCAAACTCGTTTTCATATCCTCTCGGAAATCCAATCCTGGAGGAAAGTTCGCACAAACATCCCCTGGAGGGTATTGGGAGAAGATCTAGAGTATTGGTGTCTTGGACATCTCCTTGGATAGGTTCCCGGACAGATTCACAGAGAAGATGCTGGAAAAAGTAGGTGTACTTCTCCTCTGTCCATAGGTTGCAGGTGTTGAGAAGGATGGAGAGACCGAGAGGTTTCAGGTTCGGCATGAAGTTTTTCCACTGAGGATCATCAAAGTCTACCCTAAAAGGATTGTTATGGTCGTGAGTAACCGTGAGAACTTCAGATGATACCTCACTTTCTTCAAAATCTTCGTTAAGTAAGTCCAGATCCTGGTTTGATTTAGGCTTGAAGAAAAATATCTTCTCCGCTGAGGGATTCTGCCAGGATAAAACACCTAAATTCAATAATTTATCATTTTCAGAAAAAAAACCATTTATTTCTTACCTTTTTTGTCAATGCAACAGAATGAAGTAACGGAACCAAGTGTATGAAGTAGGTTCTCTGTTCGTGAAAGATATTCTCCTCTCCCCACCATACTTGAGACTAAGATCCGTTTTACATGTCTCCAGGTCACCTCGGGACCCTTCTCTTCCATCTCTGGTGTCTCCATTGTATCGTCGAACGGATCAGAAGTTTGAATTGCACTACTGAAATATTTTTAGCTTGTTAAGAAGTAAGTGCAGGAATTTAAATGAATAATGTGTTTGATTTAATGTTATTTTACATTTTTCTCAGCTCATTTTATTAATTAAAGATAAAATTTGTTTCTGTCTTTTGAATTTGCATTCACAATTGTTTACTACCTGCGTCTAAATATCTCTAGAACACTGGATAAAGCTGCATGGTTGGATATTATCCACCAGATAGGGAATGCTAGTGGAACCAGAGGGATACCTAGTGTAACCGGCTCTGCAAGAAAAAGAACACTGACACTTGTCTCTGGGAACCAGTTCCAACTGTACTTGTATCGGAAACAGTTCCAGGCTAGGAGCAGGGGAACTAGGATCGGAAACAGAATATTCTCCAGGATAGAGTTAAGAAAATGTTTGTGCTTGTTAAGTTTCGATATTGGACGGTTCGAAGCTTCGTTCAGGATTGGTTTCAATTGTCTCAGGTATGGTGTCTCCGACAGTCGGAACTTCTGAGGTTCCATGGAGGGTTTGAACTCAGGTAGCAAACTCTTTTCCATCCGCTTGAAGGCGTCTATATGGAAGGTTTCTCCCTGATCCAAGCTCAGGTTTATCTTCTCATTTATCAACTGACACCTGAAGCAAACCATATTAATGTCAGATTTTGGAACTCAGGGCAGTTAAAGTATTTAAATTTTAGACATATTCTTCTTTCTTCCCTACTTTGTCGCATTTTTTTCTTGACTCTTTCAATCTCTAACCCCCTTTTTTCTTCTCCTTTCTTTTAACACTGACATCTATCGTTCCCTAGTAGCATAACCCATTTTTTCGATCTCTGACACTTCCTTCAAAACTTTTTCCTAGCTCTATTTTTTAACAGAAGTAGTTTCATTTTTAATTGTTACTTCAAGTTTTTGTTAAAAATGTATTGCGTTTTATGTTTTGAGAGTCTGAGAAGAATCTTTCTATAATATGAATCTAACCTTGCTGGAGATATTTGTCCTGGTTTGATAAGAACTATATCTCCTTTAACCAGGAGAGCCCAGGGAAGATTAACCATTTCGTTGTTCCTGAAAAAAAATCTTAAGCATGAATTTTTGAAAGAAAAATTTCTTCGTTAAACTAATTCAATCTCATTAAAATTGATGGGAACAAAAATATCAAGAATGAAAGAAGGTTGATTTGTAATAAATCGAGGGAAAAAAGTAATGAAGTAAAAATGTTTTGTTTTTTTGCATTTTATTAATAGTACTTGATGATTTATTTAAAAAACTGACCTAATAACCCACTGTAGCACAACACTAGCTGATATTGGTGTATGCAGATGTGGATAATTTCCAGGATTCCATTCACGGATACTTTCTCTTACAAGCTCATTCACAACCCTGAGATTTCAATTTTTTAATGAGTTTGAAGCTAACATAAACTAGCTCAACATAACAGACTAGCTTGAGAAGCTTGTTCAAAATAACAAAATCTTTACATATTTGACAAGATTTGTTCAAAATGACAAACAAGTTTCAAACAAACAAACTTATTACCTATCTGTTTTTCTGTAAATCTCTTCTCTCTTCAGGTAGCTGTCCATACCGCTGACCGCTAGGTTTAATATCGTGATCAATAGAACGATTAGTCCAGAGAAAAGACTTTCTCCTGAACCTTCTCCAAATAAACCAACCATTATGATAAGACAAAACAGAGCCGAGGTGAGCTTGAACCCTGATATTTTGGATCCAGGATGCCATGCTTCCTTGATCCATGTTAAATTCTTTAACTCTGAGTAGGACGTATCTCGTAGCTCCCGGATTTCCTCAGCAAGAATTCTCAGTGCGTCCTGGCTCCGTAAACTTTCCATCCTTACTCTGCTAGTAGACCAAACTTGCCATACTTGAGACGATCTGCAGTCTTAAAAGAGGAAGGAAAAGAGTTCAGATATCATATGGTAGAGAACTGTCAAATCATCTTCTCTGTGACAAATCTGAATTCTGGAACTGTCCAACTTCTTCACATTTTAATTTAACTATCCATAGAAAAATTCTCGGAGTTTACAAAAAACTTTCAGGTCAATTATTGCCATTATGATAATGAGATAGGGAGTGCGTAGCTAAACCTGTTTTTATGTTTTTGATGCCAAGGTTTCCTCAGTAGTAAGTACACACAGCTGATATATTAAAGTTTATACGCGGCAAAGTAGAATTTTTAAAACTATAGCGGGATATTTTTGCAAAACTGTCAGCTAGAATAAAAATAATAACTTTTGTATATCTTGCAAAATTACTTTTAAATATGAGCAATAGTTGCTTGATAAGTTGAAAAAGTACTAGAAGACGACATTTAAATACTTCGTAGGGATCATTTGCTTCTTATCCTCTTAACTAGACTCGGTGGATTCTCATTTGAACTATGGTACGTTTGAACTATTGTTCGTTTGAACTATTGTTCGTTTGAACTATTGTTCATTTGAACTACTGACATGACGTCATATCCTGTAGTTTAAATCAACGCATTTCTTGCTCATTTGAACTATTTTTCTACCCCAATTCAGTTTTAAAATTTTTTTTATAATCAATTCATAAAGTTATATTCATGACAATTAATTAGATTAACATTACACAGAATGAACATAAAAATAGTTCAAATGAACATAAAAATAGTTCAAATGATTTTTTTTGTCAATTTAAACTATTTTTTTGTTCATTTGAACTATTTTTTTGTTCATTTGAACTATTTTTTTGTTAATTTGAACTATTTTTTTGTCCATTTGAACTATTTTTATGTTCATTTGAACTATTTTTTTGTTCATTTGAACTATTTTTTTATTCATTTGAACTATTTTTTTGTTAATTTGAACTATTTTTTTGTCCATTTGAACTATTTTTATGTTCATTTGAACTATTTTTATGTTTATTTGAACTATTTTTTGTTTATTTCATTAATAATATTTTAATAGTTCAAATGAAAATAGTTCAAATGAACTAAAAAATAGTTCAAATGAGCAATATATTAATTTACTCGTTTGAACTATTGTTCATTTAAACTACTCACGTGGTCCCACGTGCAGTATAGTTGAAATGAACAATAGTTCAAACGGCAGTAGTCCAAATGAGATAGCATCACTAGACTCACTAGACTCATCCTCTACACTCTTCTTATCGGTACTGTTACATCGTCTATACGCAACATCCCCCTACTGAACTTCTGACCTACTGCAATATCGGACCTACGCCAGCTGTTAATTTTTGTATTATTTAAGGGTTAGTTAGGTTAAGACAATTTCTGGGCCGAATGCTGCGACTAGGACATCCTAGGAGCCAAGCGCCGCGGTTAGGACAGGCAAGGGGACGAGGCGCTGGGGCCACAAGTCCATCTAGCAGCTGTAAAACCACGTGCTAAAAGATCGGATGTGTATTATAGCGGATTTGGCGTAGGTCAGAAGTGGGGTATAGCGGATTTGCGGAGGTCGAATGATAAACCATATCTCTATTCTTTACTATAGACCCATATCTCTTCTTATCCTCTACTCTAGACCCATATCTCTCCTTGTCCTCTACTCTGATATTGTATCCCCTAATCCTCTACTCTAGACCCATATCTCTCCTTATCCTCTACTCTAGATATCTTATCCCCTAATCCACTACTCTAGACCCATATCTCTCCTTATCCTCTGGTCTAGATATGTTATTCCCTTATTCTCTACTGTAGACCCATATCTCTCCTTATCCTCTACTCTTATAGACCCATATCTCTCCTTATCCTCTACTCAAGATATTTTATCCCCTTATCCTCTACTCTAGATCCATATCTCTCCTTATCCTCTACTCTAGATATTTTATCCCCTTATCCTCTACTCTAAACCCATATCTCTCCTTATTCTTTACTCTAGACCCATATCTATCTTCTACTCTAGACATATTTACCTTAATCCTACTTATCCTCTTACCCAACCCCAAATCTCTTCTGCAACTTTTGATATATATATATATATATCTAAAAACATTCAATATTTAACAATTTTTAGGTTAAAAGTGTCAATCGAGTTTCCAAGAGAGAAAAAACCATTGAACATTTTATGATTTATTTTGAATTTTCAGAAAAAAACATAAAAAAAATTACTAAAGAATTATTATTTTTAGAAAATACTTTTTTTGGTAAAAATATGTGTTTTATCAGTCGTTTTATCAATTTTTTTTCTTCTTGGTTTTTCAAGTTACAAATGAAATAATCACTCTTTAGTCTTTACGTTGAAATACTGGTGTCGGCTTTGTTTAAACTGTTTAATCAAGGACTTATTTCTTCTTGTGAACCTTAGCTCCGTACTTGATAATGAACTTGTTGATATCGAACTTCCTCTTGCACCCAGCGTAGTTCATGAACCTAATCTTACCGAACACAGCTCTCTCCGCCCATCCCTTCACAACAAGTATTTAAAACAGAAGAATACAAATTGGTAAATCAGTGAAATAATTTGGAATGTAGGAATTAAAACATATCAGTAGAATGATTTGAAATATAGGAATCAAATCAAATCAGTAGAATGATTTGAAATATAGGAATCAAATCAAATCAGTAGAATGATTTGGAATAAAGGAATTAAATCAAATCAGTAGAATGATTTGAAATATAGGAATCAAATCAAGTCAGTAGAATGATTTGGTAAAAAGGAATCAAATCAAATCAGTAGAATGATTTGGAGTAAAGGAATCGCATCAATCCATTAGAATGATTTAGTAGAAAGGAATCAAAAATAAATCAGTAAATTGATTTGAAATATAGGTATCGGTGTCAATTTTAGTGATCATTAATTGTCCTGTTCTTCACCATGTGCGCTACTAGGCGTCCCTTCTTTACAATTTTGTTCCCCTCAATATGTAAACAAGTAATAATTGTTAAGTGCTTGGGATCCGGATTCATTGGATTCGGAACATTTTAGCTTTAAGGATCTGGATCTAACCAATCTCAACAAATGAGATGCCATTAAAACCTTTCCAATTATTAAATTTAAACCAAAACATAAAAAACATTTACTATCAAATCAAAATTTTGCATAAAAAATATTAAAAATTGAAAAATTTCAAGTAATTAACAAAACTCAAAGAAATATGTATTCATGAGCTGGACCCGAACCCTTTTTTAAAAGGACGGATCAAGGATCCAGGTCCGGATGAAATGGATCCTACGCGCAGGGATTTATATTGATCTCTACCTGATCATGAATACCAGTAATACTCCACATAACTCCTACATAACCATTAGGATCATTCCCGTCAACAGCATATCGATCATTCAACCTTGAAATAACATTTCTACAAGCACGAACAATTATTTTCAATGATTTGGCGAAATAGATGAAAAATGGAACGTTAACTTGAACGCACTCTTGAATAAGAGACATTTGGAAAAAGAGAGAAAAGTTTTATATTCTCGATCCAAATATCTTAGTAGTCATTACGCTGAAATATTCAGACATTTTTTGAAAATCTTTCGTCTTATTCTGTCTGTCCGTTTGTATCCATTAAACGTCAAAATGGAAGAACCGATTGCTCACAGATAGAGCCACAATTGAAAGTTGAAATAGAAGATGGGCGCGAAGCTAGGATTTACATTTTATATACGCTTGATAAAATTGTTAAACCTGAGTGCCTCGACGAGCGCAGATTCCGGAGATTCTGTCCATTCTAGAACCTTCTTTGCCCAATACATCCGGAGGAACCCGTGTAGTTTCCCCTCACGAACCAGCTGGAGCTGAGCTGCGTTCCACAGATCGTCGTGGGTTCGCCCTTCCTCAAACTCCTAAACAGTTTAAACTAATTCTAGAATTCTAGAATTGTTTTTTTTTTACATGGGGATTAAGGAAATATTTTCATGAAGTATAGTTTAAAATATTAATACTTAATACCAACGTTTGGGGGAAATATTTTCATGAAGTATAGTTTAAAGTATTAATACTTTATGACTTAAACAATTGTCAAAACTGGATTTAGTAGGAAGATCTTTTTTATCCGAGCCTTCATTAAAATACCCTCCCCACGGAAGAGAACATCATGAAGAAGTTTCAAATATTTTGGAAAAAATTATATTAGTTCAAATATTTTGAACCTCTCTAGTGTAGATATATTCTCTCTTATCCTTCTTGTGTTCATTCAGACTCTTCTTCGCCCAGTCCGAGGCTCCCTTCAGGGTGTCGTAGTCAGGATTGTACTCACAGAAATTATCTGATAACTCTCTTCTTACAACTCCCTCCTCAACAAAACTAGCAACACTTTCACTTTGAGATTTACCATGTTTCTTCACGTATATAACAGCTCGTTGCATTGAGATCTAAATAAAAACAAAATTAGACAAGTATGTGATTAAAATTGAGAAATAAAATTCATGTAAAAAAGACAGTTAATGAGTTAATTTTCTAGAGTTAGGATTATAAAGTACCACTCAAAGTTGCCCATAAGGACCAGAATTTTCAAATTATTTTTGAATTTTTTTTTTAACTTTTAAGATGGTTTTAAAAAATCCACGAAATGTACCAGATAATCATTAGGGTTCTTTTCTGATTTTTTTACAAAAGAAGAATTTGCATATTATTTGCATATTATTACGATGCACAGATATACAGAGTAACATTCTGATCGCTTATTTTTACGCTAAAACTTTTTTTTGGGTTTAAGAGAAGAAAGTATTTATTGTTTTCCAGTTTTGGGTTGATATTTTGCCCCTTGGATCCGGATCTGTGGATTGGCTTTGCTGTGTTCGTAATTTTTTAAAATGGGAAAATATTTACATTCTTAAAAAGTAAACAATCCCTTGAACATTTAAAATTTTACCTGACCATTATTGACCCAAGGAGACAGGTTGGACAAAGCGGAAACATTAGGATCATTCCTCTTTGCTCCGTACTCCTTGATACGCTTAGCACAGAACTCCTCTAGATTGCAGAGCCCTGCCCTGGTACCCGGAGTAAAGGTCTTGACTGGTTCTACTCCCCAACCCGTCCGATCAATCTTTAAACCTTTGTAGACCTCGTCAAAATCCAGCCCAGAAATCTGTAGACTAGAAGTTTCAAGATTACAGACAAAAAATTATTAAATCCGATTCAGTAAAAAACACCTTTTACATATTTAAAAATACGCCCCCCCCCACAACCCTCCCCGGATTTTGAGAAGTTACGGAAAATGAAAATTATGGGAATTCAAATTGCATTTAATATTTTCTTGATACGTTCTATGCCACAAAAATCACTTATTTTCTCATGAGCAAAAACTTATGCGATAAAAAACTTCCACTCCATTCAAACTTCTTCAAATAAATGATTTTTAAAGAAAAATATATCCTTGCAACACAACAAAAGAGTAAATCATATATGAAACCTTCCTCAGATATAGAATCAACTGGATGTTCTATTACAGGAGGAAATCCGGTCAGATATTCAGCCAGGTTCTTTGTTATCTTTGGTCTACAATATCATAGTTAATACATACTATTACAGGAGGGAACCTAGTCAGATATTCAGCAAGGTTCTTTGTGATCTTTAGTCTACAATACCATAGTTTATAAATACTATTACAGGAGGGAACCTAGTCAGATATTCAGCCAGGTTCCTTGATATCTTTGGTCTATAATACCATAGTTTATAAATACTATCACGGGAGGGAACCTAGTCAGATATTCAGCAAGGTTCTTTGTAATCTTTGGTCTACAATACCATAGTTTATAAATACTATCAGGAGGGAACCTAAACAGATATTCAGCAAGGTTCTTTGTGATCTTTGGTCTAAACTACCATAGTTTATAAATACTATTACAGGAGGGAACCTAGTCAGATATTCAGCCAGGTTCCTTGATATCTTTGGTCTATAATACCATAGTTTATAAATACTATCACAGGAGGGAACCTAGTCAGATATTCAGCCAGGTTCTTTGTTATCCTTGGTCTACAATACCATAGTTTATAAATACTATTACAGGAGGGAACCTAAACAGATATTCAGCAAGGTTCTTTGTGATCTTTGGTCTAAACTACCATAGTTTATAAATACTATTACAGGAGGGAACCTGGTCTGATACAACTTTGGGATTCCTGGTAGCCAATCTAAGTTAGGACGGATAAATCAGTTGTCAACTTGTCATGGCTTTTCCAGCACGTCTGAAGACTCAAACCTGATCGAAACCAACTTTCTGATTTCTTATTCTTTGGCTCTTTGAGTAAAAATCTGTGATTTGGCTGGATCTGAGCAAGGTGACAACCAAGGATAAATAAAAAATAAAAAATAGAACATTTAGTATTATGAAATTCCTTTATTTTCTGGCGACTGTAATTTTTTTTTGACATAGAACTTAATCAAAACTTAATGATCAAATCTTATACAATATCCATGAACTCTACTAGTTCAATCATGTTCTAGTACTCATATACTTGCAGTACCTGATGGTTCTAGCAGCGTACTCCTGCTTGTCACTGGTAATCCAGACTGGGACGATATTATGAGCATCAACTTGATGGATAGGAGTATCAATCTTCTCCTGTATACAATCCAACCAAGCTTTATGATATCTAAACATTTACAAGGTTAAAAGGGAATAACAACGTAATTTGAAGGGAACCTCTATGCAAAGATGACAATGCCTGATTTACAAAATGGCAATGCCTGATTTATAAAGGTATCCAGCTTTTTGTAATTGAGTAGGAATGCGAAATCCATGTTTTTTTCTCACTTTTTTATTTGTGGCTTCTCTGCAAAAGCAACTTGCGCATTTTTTCTTATAATTAACAACAACGGAGAAACTATCTGAAATAAACCCCTTTACTTTAGGACCAGAAAACAATGTAATCTTCCACATTTTTGATCAGATTAGGTTTTCAAAGGGTACATTGGGCATTGCCATGTTAGCATCATCTATTCCAAATCATGATCAAAGAGACAATTTGTTGACAAGAACACTTTTATTTTTGTTCACTTCTGAAAGTGGAAAATCAGACCAACCTTACAGTAAGCCAATTTCCTAACCGACCACCAAAAAAATACGGGGCCATATTTGCCGCAATTTTTACTGTTATATTTTTATCTGGATACAACCTGAGAGGTGAGTAGTCTACCACCAGCAAACCAATCTTGTGTTTGGTCAGGTAGGATTTGGTGATTATATCACTGGGTTCTCCGAGAGCAAGACTAAACCCAATATTTAACTCTTTGCATTCCTCTGCAACCTCCTGCACAAAAGTTTAGTTAAATACAGATGAATGAATGTAAAATGTTTAAAAGAGAGAAATTATGGCGGGGCATATATTCATACCAATAAACCAATAAATAGCGGGGGTTTGGGGGGTTGGATGGAGAATAAGATTTGAGGAAAAAATGGTACTTTAACTAGTCAACTAGCAAATTTTCAACTTCTTTTTGATATTTTTAAAAAATCAACAAAACGTTTCAGTGTGGGTCCGGGAAATTTATTTTTAAGGTGTGTGTGTGTATGAGCGTGTGTGTGTTAATTTGTCAGGAAAATATCTACCATCGAGTTAAGAAGGGGAAACGGAAATTGGTTGAATAATTATAATGTTCCCTAATTCCTACCTTTAGACCCTCCAACATGAAAGTATAATGACGTAAGGTCAGTTCTCCTAGAGACTGAGGAACACAGACAAGAACCTGAATCAAATGATGCTAGGAAGGTCATCATAAACATTGATAAATCTGTAGGCTTATGCTTACTAGAGATAAATCAATATTTAAATTTAAAACTTGATAAATTTGTACAAATTAAAAAAAATCAGAAATCATAAAAACTAAATTTGTTATTGGATGTTGATTGATAAAAAATGAAAAATTTAGCGAAGTAAAAAAAACCTGAAGAGGAACGTTTAGTTCAAGAGCAATCTTCTGAGAGTATAGAAGAGCCCAGTTATCCTGAACCCGTCTATCCCTCCACATCCAGTACATAACACTCTACATGAAGAAGGTAGTACATTTACAGCGATGATATCTGGGACGAATACAGGAATTTCGCCAGGGGGCAGAGGGGCTTTAACTCGTGGGTAACAGATTTTTTCATTTAAAAATTTTTTTTTTAAAAAGTTCGAAGAAATGAAATGCCATTTCAATAAAATGTCCAATTTTGGAAACGTCCTGTCTATAAAATGTCCTTTCTATGTTTATTGTTCGTCACTAAAATGGTAATTTTTACCAAGAAATTCAGTAAAATCAAAATTTGAAATTGGTTTGATAAAAAGTTTCAATTAGTGGTAAACCTTGCACTCTCTTTTCATATCTCCGTCCACTCCTTGGAGAACTCGAACCCTCTTCTTGTTAAACTTGAACTCGGAGACGGAGCTCGCTAGTTCAACCCTCTCCTCCATCAGCAAACCGGAGATACCGTCTAGAGTACAGATTCAGCATTTATTCGTATCTATATTATACAGGCGGACTTAAGTTTATTTCCTATTGGGGGGGGGGGGGGGGGCTCAGCATCCGCTGGGGCTTTAAACACCCTTGGAGACCATAGATTTCATTGATGCATAGCCCCCCTGAAAACGTCTATAATTAAATATATAAAGTAGTAATCTCTGTATGTTTGTCCGATCATAACTCATAAATCCCGGGACCGATTTGCCTCAAATTTTGATTGGAGAACTCGGTAGAACCACGGAAATGTTCTTATTTTGGTACTTAGCTGAGTTAGTTGACTTAATTTCTTATTCATGTTATCCTAGGTTCAACGATAGGTCGTATCTATCTGCACTGCTCTGGTAAAGCGTAATCAAAGTGTGACTATGGTTCTACCTATGGTAGAACGTCTAAGAAATTGACCAAAAGTGTAGTTTTTGGAAGTCCAGTTCCCAAGTTAGTGTTGATATAAGTTTAATGAAGTCTTAATTTAAAGAGAATCTCATTTATCAAATGTAGGTCCCATCTCAACACAACGCGTAAAGCCAACACTCTTAGGTCGATTTACAACACATAAATAAGGTGGGTCCACGTCCTAGTATACGATTTCTGGACCCCCCCCCCCCATACTATACAATTTTGTACATAAATACTAATTTTCAGCAAAATTAAGATTATACGTTTTCAATTATTTTAAGGTAAGGTTAGGTTAAGACAATTTCAGGCCGAAAACGGCGCTGCGAATAGGACAGGCTATGGGGCCGAGCGCCGCGGCTAGGGCATGCTTGGGGGCCGGGCGCTGCGGCCTTATGACAAATTTTATCTATGTAAAAAAAATCGTATACTAGGACGGACCCAATTGCTTTTTAATTAAATGATAGTCAGATAATATTTATTTAGCTTATTATAAATGTGTCCAACAAACAAAAGATCGCATGTGATCTCCAATATCTTTCAATTCCACAGACTTATTACCTAATTTTGCTTTCTTGGATGATGATGCCATTGTTCTAAATACAGGAAACAATCTAAAACTAATATCTTTGTATTTTGTTATGAAAAATCCAGTAATGTATGGAAGCATTAATGAAGAATATATTTATTTACGAAACTGTCTGCATAATGTTGAGAGAATTATAAAACTTTCCCGCTTTCCGTTTTCTAATTTGAAGACGACTGATTATTCTCTGTTTAAAATCAGAAAACGAACTTATCAGTTTACCATGAAATTAACCCAAATCAGTCCCTTTAAATATTAGAAAAAATCATCCTTTAACTTTAAAACAAATTCAAACAATTTTATCTTTTATAGAGCTCACATTTCAAAAAATTTTCACGACAAATTATTTTAATCACATCATGTACACTTTGTTATACATAATTAAAAACAAATAGAACAATTGACAATAAATTCTAACATTTGTTAGTATTTAAATTGTGATAAATGAATAATCGGAAGAATACTGTGAGAATATTTTTGAAGGCCTTCAAGAAAGACAAATTTCTTCCGTGATATACAATAAAATATATTCCAATCTTAAAATATCCACGAGACATTAAGGATGGATAATCCGGTATTGAAAAAAATATATTTACTTAAGAACACAAAATATCCCGGATATGATGAAAGAGGACATCTGATTATAACAAATTATAAAGAAATATCAACTGTTCTCAAACGGGTATAATTATAATATTCCTGTACGTTATTAAAATCAAAAGAAAACACAATGTTCACAGAAAAATGATATCAGTATATTCACTAAGGATATTTAAAGACTGCCAAAAAATGCAATGAATTTACGATTACAAAATAAAATGAAAGAAGGAACAAAATAACAAAAATCGACGAAAGAAATATCTGTAAACAAGGAATAAGTGTCAAAGAACAATATGGACAACTTTTACTCCGAAAAATATTTCAATTCTGAACCAAAACCTGAAGTATAAAAACTTCCGCTAGGTTGTCTTCGTGAATTGAGCAGAACCGGCGAGATCTGAGATGGCCAGAATCCGTTCTCCTGCTCCAACTTTAATCCGTCCTGTAATCTCAATCTCCTGAAGAAAACTCGAATGGTTAATCAATGATCATGCATGAAATATATACAATGCATTGTAAGGGAACTTGATTTAGAAAAGGTTGTGATTTCTCTGTACCTGTGTACCAGAGCCATCTCCCTGAACAACTCTCCACTGTTGAACCTGGAGAAGAATCGGAGAGATTTCAGAGACTGCTCCGGTCTCAGTTCTCATCCGCAGCAAGTGTTGGATACTGGAAGACGGTTCCTGTTGTGCTGAACGGTTTCCTGACTCACTTAGGACAACAGGAGTGGATACTGATACTTGTGACTGTTCTTGATTTGTCGAAGATCTATCAATCAGATGTTCTGGAGAAGGTATAGTTAAATTCTCCGAAAAGTGTTTAGATACAAGTCTAGGAGAAGTCTTAGTTGCAGTATCCGAAGAAAATTTAGCGGGAGACTCCATGGAAGGTTTGTTTGGTTTCTCCGAAGAAAGTTTAACTATAGGTTCCGGAGAAGGTTTAGAAGGTATATTCGAACGAGCTTCGGTCAAAAACTTCGGAGTAGGTTTAGCTGCAGTGTTCGGAGAAGTTTCAACCAAAGGTTCCGGAGAAGATTTAATGGTAGTGTCCACAAAAGGTTTAGCTAAAGGTTCTAGAGAAGGTTTAGTAGCAATATCCAGTAAAAGTTTAGCTGGAGGCTCCACGGGAGTTACGTTTAGTTTCTCCGAAGAAGGTTTGGTTATAGATTCCGGGAAAGGTTTAGTTGCAGTGTTCGGAGAAGTCTCAACTAAAGGCTCCGGAGAAGGTTTAATCGTAGTGTCCGAAGAAGGTTTAGCTAAAGGTTCCGGAAAAGGCTTAGTTGCAATATTTGGAGAAGGTTTAGCTTGAGGTTCCGCGGCAGTTTTGTTTGCTTTCTGCGAAGAAAGTTTAGAAATAGGTTCCGGAGAAGATTTAGTTGCAATATTCGGAAGTGCTTTGGACACAGACCTTGGGGAAGGTTTAGCGGAAGTGTTCTGAGAAGGTTCAACTAAAGGCTCCGAGGAAGGTTTAGTTGTAGTGTCCGGAGAAGGTTTAACTGAAGACTCCAGAGAAGGTTCAGTTACAGACCCTGCGGGAGGTTTGTTGACTTTCTCCAGACAAGGTTTAGTTACAGTGTCCAAAATAGGATTAGTTAAATGAGCCGGTAAAGCTTTGGTTTGAGTGTCTGATGAATGTTTAAACTCCTGAGAGGGGTTTGCCACAATATCCAAAGACGCTTCAAGTTTGGGAAATAGTTCAGTTCCAGTCTCCGGAGAAGGTTTAGTTGTACTTTCCGGAGTAGGAGTAGTTACAATTTTCCTTACAATCTCAGGAGAAGGATTTGTTACAGTCTCCGGAGAAGAATTGATTACAATCTCTTGAGAAGGTATAGTAATTGTCACCGGGGAATAATTAGTTAAAATCTCCAGAGTTAATTTAGTTGCAGTCTCTGGAGAAGGCTTAGTTGCAGTCTTCTGGGAAGAATTAGTTACACTCTCCGGAGAAGAATTAGCTACAATCTCTGGAGAAAGTTTAGTTACAGTCTCCGGAGAAGATTTAGTTGTAGTCTCTGGAGTAGGATCAGTTACAATCTCTGGAGAAGTTTTAGTTACAACAGTCGCTTGTGATAGATCTTTGGGTTCCGGCGGAGCAATAGTAGCATTCTCTGTAGAGCATTTGGTTACAGGTTCCAGAGCTAAAACTTCCCTGGCAATTTCAACTAAAGACTTATTATAAAGTTTACTTGCAATCTCCGGATAAGATTCAGTTCCAATCTTAGAAGAACATTGAACTGAATGCTTCGGAGAAGGTGGCTCAATAATAGGCAACGGAGAAGGGTTTGATTTAGTTTTCAGATTACGTTTATTAATTTGGTTGGCTTTCCTTTCCTCAGCTCTGACTATGCTTTCAAGCTCCTGAAAAATATCGAATATTTTAGTTAACATATTTTAAGTAGAATTAGTTAAAGATAGAAAACCTGTATTTGAGAGAAGATTGGAACATGACCAGAAGCTTCTTTAGTCTTCTTTCCTTCCACTGTCATTACAGTTGTTATCACCTCTTGCTTACTGTTTATGACTACCCTGAGTTTCAAGTGAACCATGCTTGAAGATTTTTGAAGATTGTCTGCAGTGAAGGCTATAACACTTGAACCAAATCTTGTCGGTATGGTAGCATAATAAACTGAATTTAGATGGGTCGGGCTCAAAAAACCTAAAATATTTGTTGTTTGAGATAATTGAAAAGAGGTTAAAAAATGTTTTAAACTTACCGACAATATCTGTAATAATTATGCTGTTCTTTATCGACTGTGCAGTGAACGCATCGTTGAGGCTCTTTCTCCCATTGTTGTACCAGACGTTTTCCCCCAGACAAATAAGGTTGTGAAGGAATCCTGTAGTCTGGAGTTTGATCTTCCCAATCCTACTGTACTTGTTGCATCCCATGTTCTTGAACAATCCTAGTTGAGACATGAGAACATGATCTATCTCAGAGAAGTCTAGATGGTGGTCGAGATATTTATTTATCTCCACAGAGTTCAAGAAATTCCGTATTTCTAGTGAACCAACTCCGTACTGGGAATTGCACTCATTGGAGAGAAACAAATGAATTATTAGGAACGGGATTCTATTATCCTGGTCCTCTGCTCTTACGCAGGAGTAAGTAGGATTGATTGCAGTCTCCAGCACAAACGGGGTTGAAAGTTCAACAGATTGAGTAGAAGCAGATGTTTGTTCAAAGGGAGAAACATATACTGGAGCAGGTTCAGTTCCAGTTTCAGCGGAAGCTTCCAGCTTAGGAAAGGGGGTAGTTACATGTTTCAAATAAGGTTCAGAAGCAGCAGCAGCTCCTTTAAAAGAACGAGGTTCAGCTGGCTCTGCGCCAGATTCTGGTTTGGGTTTAGGATCATACATTGAATTTGATTTAGTTGGTAAACACATATCCTCCTGATCAACGCGTTCACACATTAACCGTATTAATCTATTCAGTTCAGATACATCACTATTCTCTCCAGGTAGTTCTTTGTTCACATTGAGTTCATCTTCAACCGTTATCTGATCCTCATTCTCAACTCGTATCTGATCCCCATCTTCAACCCTGACCTTATCATAATCCTCAACCCTTATATGATCCTCATACTCATCCCTTTTCTGATCCTCATTCTCAACCCGTATCTGATCCTCATACTCATCCCTTATCTGATCCTCATCCTCGACCCTTATCTGTTCCTCATCATCAAACTTCATCTGATCCTCGTCCTCAAACTTAATCTGATCCTCATCTTGAAGCTGTTCATCGTCAGAGAAGAAAATTTCGTTTTCTGAATCCTCCACTATAACATGCTTGTGCTTGGACCAGGAGTAAGGTTGGGAGTTGACAGCTGGCAGAGCGGAACCCGGAGAAGGTTCAGAGGTTTGATCTAATCCTCCATCAACTTTACTAACGCTTTCAATTTCCATTCTGAGTCTTGCGTTTACAAGAGATATCTTGACTTTAACAAGAACAGGATCCTTAGATCTGAACCCAATCTCTGGATTTACATATTCCAAACTTGAATACGCGTTTCTAATATGAAAGGTTATGTAAACCATGGATTTCTCTCTTGTAAGAACTCCCCTAAGATTGGCAACGTACAAACAGTCCTCACAACGTTCAATTTGAAATTTCATCTTGATATCAGAAAACTTGAACCGAACCTTTGGAGGGAGAAGATTGTGACAGATTTTGAAGAGAAATCCTAGCATCTGTTATTAGGTTTTAGAGCTGATAATGTAATAATAAATAAAATGTCCTCTGTATCGTGTTGCGTAATGCATAAATGGTAACATGATATATGCTTCAGATGTTGTAACAGAAAGTCCATTCATTAATCTTAAAGAAAAGTTGACTTTTACGATGCATCTTTCTTGTTCTATAAGCACAACATGAATGAATGATTTCTAAGCTATTTTCTCCAAAGAAAAGTTAAAAACTTTTTAAAGCTTAGATCTTTAGTCTAAAACATTCCTCAAGGGTTGGTTGCTTGAAGGTAATGGATTGATGGCTGGGTTTGAAGAGATGTTTGTACTTGTTCATCAGTTCAATAATCTTAGATTCACTCACAGCAAAACTACTCAATATGAATTCAATTAGTTTAAAGTGAATAAAACTAGTTAACACAATTAGACTAAATTAATTAAATAATATTAGGTTACGCGGGAAGTCAATTAATTAGTTTAAAAAAGTATATTTTTATGAAGCATTTGGACGAGATTAAAAGACAGGTTAAAAATTTAATATTTTCTAATTTGATGTTTTAGTCCATATAGGGCACACGACATATGGAAATATGCAATGTGTTTATATTAAGGGAAAAATTACCCCCCCCACACACAAAAAAAACGAAGGGCATTAGCAACCTAGAAAGGTTTTGAGGGCCACTCAACTAAGGTTGGGAATTGTGCTAAAGGTTTATTCTGGCAGAATATACAGTGATAAACAGAAAACTCTGGAATAGGAAGTCGACTTTAAGACTCAAGTTATGACTTTCAATAGTCCGATAAACATGAGGCACAGCAATTGTAAAATGTAAACAGATCCATTTCACTCAATAAGGGATTTAATAACTTACTAGTAAAGCTTTTTGCTTTGTAACAACTTCAAATGCACTTCAGTGTTGTTTCAATGTCGTCTTCATATTGTAAAAACTTTCTGGTTATCACCCTATTAATTTAGAGAAACACACCCTTTTTTAGGACACTATCTTACCTAACCACATCGGAGAGCTGGTTAGCCAGTGTCTCGGTACTCATCAGTTCATTGGATTTCATGAGTTCCAGAAATGCCAGGAAGGCTAAAGAGTCTAAGGTTAAGTGATTATCCTTCATTAAATCTTCTTTTTCCATTTTTCCTTCAGACCTTCTCCTGGAAGATAATTTTGGTTAACGTCCCACCCCCTCATTATAGAATTAGATTTTTATAATTGAAAATGTCTAAAAATGTCGGAACTTTTGAGTGGAGTAAGTTTATCTTGAATTCTTGATCTCGATATCCAATGTGGGCACTTTTAACTTAAAGGACAAATTCTTGACATCTTCGTTAAAATTATCCCTAAAGGTTATCGAAGAGGAATTAAAATAATCCGTCTGCAATAGAAAGAGATAAATGCTTGATCCCGGAATTCATAAGATAAAAGTTCTGACCTTAGGTCTAATATCTACCACCGAGATAAAGTATGATGAAAGTATTTACCTTTCAATTAGAGCTTGCTGTGGTTCCGGCTCACTTCCAGGTATAAAGGTTGAACTCACAATCTTTATCCGTCGTCCATTCATCTCAACACCGTTCAAGTCTCTAGAAATAAAACTCATTTCAGGTCAACCAACTGACCTCGAAATCTAATTGATAAATCTTTGCAACCTAGTGGTAACAACCTTCAAAATATACTATAAGTGAGATCACAGGGCGCATGGTTTAAAATATCTAAGGTTGCAAAGATATAAGGATTAGAAAGTTAGAGTAAAAGAAGAATTAGCAACCAACATATACAGACACATTTTAATATTTATTTCCTCCGATCATTACTTTAATATTGATATCAAATACTTCTGTATACAATACAAAACTTTGATATAGAATTTCTGTTAACCAAACTTTAAATTTTAAGTTTAGATTATTAGTTTGAAACATGATGAACCTGATTATCTGATCCACTCTATCTTTACCCAGACCTGCATCAACATGAACGAAACCGTAAGCCTTGTCAGTCATTATGTCTGCCTCCAGTACAGTACAATACTGTTCAAACAATTCTCGAAGATCCTTTAATATATATATATATGTACAACACAAATTTAGAAACAGTGCAGTGCATTGCAAAGAAAATGAGAATTGAACAAAGATCTTTATTAGTAGTAGTAATGAGTTTTTCAAAATACGATATTCTAAGAAATGACGAAATTTGACATGAAAATGAATCAGACTGGAAACAATAAACTTTTGTCTGATAACAAATTTAGTGTATAGAATGCACTTTTATGAGGAGTTCTTTCATTTTTTATTGAATTTTTTCCCCATTTTTTTTCTATCGTAAAGCACCGCGATTTAAGCAACATTTTAGCTAAGTGTAAAGGGTACAATTATGGCTCGTTTATGCCACTTTTGAAATTAAAAATTACTTTAAGTTACTTTGTTCAAACTCATTAAAGGGACTGTAAACGTAATTTCAAGTGCCTTTCGGTTTCATAAGTGGCATGCCCGATTCATAACGGTAACCTATCCTATCCAAGTTTTTCTTTAAGAAAATTAATTATTTTAGTTTGTGGTTTCTCTATATAAGTTACTTGCGGATTCCTGCTTTCAGAGGCAACGGATTTATAAACCATTGATTGATCAGAGCTGAAAACTTAAGAATTGTGGATATTGAGATGAATACTTGATCTCCTCTTTTTCTTAATCTCCATATTAAATAATGCTGGTACTCCTCTTGTTTTTAATCTCCAGATTAATCAACCGATCGGGATTAAGGATATCCTATTTAAAAGTTCCCAGCTCAGATCAGGTTTAAAAGTTACCTTTGTGAATTTGACATGCCCCTCTTAAAATTACAATGACAGGTCATTTAAAAAAAACATTTTATTTATATTCGTAATAATATTTTAACCTTGTTTCGAGTGTGAGGTGAGAAATTAACAATAAAAATCTTGAATGCGGCTGGTTTATCAATTCTAATCCTTTGAACCTAAAACACAGAATTGATATTTTATAAAAGCTAGAATTATTTCACTGAATTGAACCGTAGAGTGTAGACTGCAGTACACGTAATTTCATTTCATGTGACCTTCCATTTTAGAGTAGCAATCCTTCTCTTCTAGAGAGAAAACACACTGCAGCTCTCCCGGATAATAATGATCATCCAAACCTCTAACCAAGGTAGAAGTTATATTCATTCTTTGTGCTCAATTTATTTATTAAAATATCTTCTTTAATTTCTTTTTTTTGTGAAACTGGTATTCCGCAAAATAAATTTATTAGAGTGAGATACCAGTTTGTATAACACAGCCTATACACTGACACATGGGCCACTAAATATTCTTTTAAAATCTATAAATTCTAATTAATATTTAGGAAAAATAATAAATATTAAATATTCACACATCGATATTTGTTTTTAGTGTTTTTTTTTAATTCAAACAATTTCGAAGTTATTTTACGCCTGGTGTTGATAAAAATTTTTTAAATGTATTTCATTTACTCCTAGATAAATTAGAATTTATCTAGGCATTTACTAAATAGCAATTTAGTGTTCTAGAATGAAATTAATTTTAAAAATTGTTTAACTTATTATTGGTTCCAAATTGGATCCCAAATTATGGTACACTGAGAACCAGAAAACTGTGAAATAAGAAAACGACATTTTAGCACTAATTAAGTTTATTTAATGTCGTTACAAAATAAAAAGGCTTTTAAAACACAATTATTAAGTTATATGGGTCTGTATACACTGCACACTTTCTGTCTCTCATGCTCATGTAACTAAAGTCATAATTTGAGTCTAAAAGTCGTCTTTCTATTTCAGAGTTTTTTTTGGTTTATTTTATCAATTGATCTAAATATACTTACTTTGATTATTGAACCTTTGAGAGCGTAACCATCAAGTTCCTGGATTGCTCTGATTGCTCCAGATTCCGTGTCAATATCTATAAACCTAAAAATAAAGAATATCACTTGTATGATCAATTTTACAAAAAAAAACACAATTGTCTGTGGAACTGCTTTCCAAATGAAAACATTAAAGAAAAAAGAACTTGAAAGAAATCCTTATATCTAACTAAACAAGTTTTCTGTCTAGAAATTTCTTCATGTTGAGTTTGTCACTGTATTTTATCCTAAAACTCAAACCTTATCAAAACTAAACAAATCGGAGAAAATTAAATCTGGACAAATGAAGATTGTGCAAGGGGACCTTGATATTTTAATCCACTGCAATCGTAACAGAAGAGGGTCAAATTTTTGCGCAGTTACTGCTGCGAATTTGTGACCTCGTAGTACCTCTAGTTTTGATTTTATCATAAATATGAGAAAAGCGAATTTATCTGGTTTCAAATCAGAAATTCAAAACATTTTTCTTCTTCTCAATGATTCTTCAATAAGTGAAGATATGAAGATATGATCAATCTTACATGCAATTCACTTGAGTTTAACGTGGAGCAAGATTATCAGATACTTCTTTATGCCTGACTGACTAGAAACGGCCTGAAAAAGTCTTTATGATGTGACTTTTAAGGATTCCACTTCAAAATCCCTTTTATAGGCAGTACTTAAACAATCATACAGTTCACTTATGGCTTTGAATTTTTGCTAAAAAGTGTCTTAAGACTGCTAAGGACAACACACAAAATTTGGAGACCGTGCCATTAACAGTTCAAAAACTATCACCAAAAAATCCAGAATCAGCTTAAACGAGTTTTGAAACTAAAGATAAATTTGTTTATAGACCAGAACATGCACTTGATTTCTACAATATCTTAAAAATAGATTTACTCAAAATTTTCTAGTTGGCATATCCTGAAAATTGAGATTATAATTCAGTAGACTGCATACTAATAGATTCCAAAGAAAAAGTTAAGGTTTTTTGACTTGAAAGCTGATGGTCCATTTTTAGCAGTGTGAATTATTAACTTGTCTAAAAGTCAACTTCCTATTCCAGAGTTTTCTGGTTATCACTGTATTTCATTTATTTAATTATTTAACAATTATCTGCCCTATTTCATTTTGCAAATCTTAAAATAGTTTTTTTTATATTTTATTAACATATATGTTCTATATTATATAAATACAAATAATTTGTTTCCAGATATTATTGTTCATTTAAAATGCTTTGCTGATGACAGTTCAATGATGTGAAATTAAGCAATAAAAAAGATTGTAACACGTCACGAATTTAAGGTAATAAAGTAAGTTTTTCAGACAGAAAAATCAAAAATTTACTATGCAGGGGGGCTCTGCCCTCCTGCAACCCCCCGCCTCGTTAACTTCGTTTCCCTCGGTGCACCCCCACCCTTCAAAAACACCCAGTTACGGGCCCCTTATATGGCTAGTTTTTAAGTGGACGAAAAAGTTTCAATTCATCCTTACCCAAAGTTTTTGAGGATTGTGCATTTCGAGATAGATCCAAATCTTTTAAACAATTTAAGAAGTTCCTTCTCTGTGACCTTGGTTTCAGGTATTCCTCCGACATAGAGACGAACCATGCTTTATCTAAGATTGTTAATGTTCTGTATTGTTTTCGGGATCAGTAGTTTCAGCAAATACATCTTCAAAAAGTTCAACAATTTTTTCTCTGAAAGTATTTAAGTTTGTGAAGGTTAAGGTATGTTTAATCTATGAGCAGGCGCGTCAGTCGGAATAGGGTTAAAACTAACTCAGACTCCTCAGACAAATGGATTCGGATGAAACAACTCATGCAGTTTTGTGGATCATTCACAGAGTCATAAATATCGGATTCGGATCATCACTGCTGGATTCTTTAAATCTAAATCACACACTTGTTATCTCCATGAGCTCAGCTGTATCAGTCTGCCATAGAATAAACAAAAAGGTTACACTGTACTAGAGCAGTGAACTTTGAAGCAATTGATATTTTACTGGAGCTGGATTCGTATTACATGAAGGAGTATGAAATAGACGGGAGATACAACTGACGCAGCCCGCCCTACCATATGATTATTCATACTTTGAAGAAATAAGAAAGAAATATAAGAAAAATTCAGAAATATTCAAAATAGGTTATTGTATACGCGGTAATTGTACATCAGACAAATAGTTCTTATTTAAATGCAGTACCGTCTGCAAAGCATGTATCAATGTATTATCAATCATATGGTAGGGCGGGCCGCGTTAGTCATATATCTCCCTTCTATTTCATACTCCTTGTATTACGAGTGATTCATACACAATTTCGAATAAAGCCACGTGGGAACGAAGAGTTTTCGTCTGATGAAGTACTGCTATGTAAACCGACCTTTAAAGTAACCTCACAGCTCAAGGGGTTTTCAACATAAACTTAGCCCACAGGGGGGACGTCCCCCTCCCTGAAAAATTGGATGTCGAAAAGTTATAAACAAATTTGTTTTAACATCAATGCGTTACACGAATTTTAATACTTCTTTTACACACTGTGGAACCTCGGTGCAAATATAATTGCTCAAAACAATTGCTTTCTAGAAATACTGGTTCTATGGAAACGCCTCAACTCCCTCAACACGGAAACTTTTGAGGAATTTCTGTCATTATTCAAGAATAATCGCAAATCCCTCAAAAATTCAAATATGTGGATGGATTTCCGAATATTTTTGATCTTTTCCCGTTTTTTTTCGGTTTCCGCGTTTTCGGTTTTAAATTCTTATGTTTGTACATCGATTTCCTCTTTTTTCGGTCCATTTCCGCATATGTTTGCTCCGTTAACGGTTTTCAGCAAAAGTTTAAAAAATTTCATGGTTTGTTGATATGTTTCCTTTTTTCGATCCGTTTCCGCATATTTTTGGTCCGTAAAGAAAAAGCTATAAATTCTCAGTTTGTCGAATGGTTTCCTGTTTTGGTCGATCCGTTTCCGCCAATTATTTGTCCGATTCTCAGCTTGATGGTCGGTTATTTTCGACCAGTTTCCGCAATGTTTAATTAATTTATTTGAGATTCCAGTTATCATCAATGACAGTTATATACGACATATTAAGAAAAATAAGATAAAATTGCTTAATTTTATTCTAAAAATCTTTGGAGGAAAACCAAGCCAACCGAGGAATATTAGACATATTTAAGGTTAAAACTGTTTTTAAAAGCAATTTTTTTTTATCGACAATCCCCTTTTAACGGACTTTGTATCTACTTTAAACACATTTAAGGAAACTAAAACGACGTGTATAAGTATAGGCGAAAAAATCCGAAAACTTTTTTATGAGACACCCTAATTAACGAATAAGTTAAATTTAACCCGGAATGGATAAAAAATCGACAAACTGAGAATTAAAAAGGTTTTAAAAACCAGAAACCGATCAAAATTAAGCAGAAACGGATCTAAAACAGAGGAACGAACAACCGCAACACTTTCATCACAGCTGAGCTCTTAATACAATTAATTTGTTGGAGAATGCTTGAATACTTTGCTTATTGTAAAATGAGGCAGACATTTGATCACTACAGGGCGTACATTATTTACATTATTCACAATTTCTGTAGAATACATTTATCTAACAGAAAAACATAAAATTAGATAAAATAGTTAGCTTTATTTCCTTTTATAAAACAGAATTTCGTTTGGCAATGCAAATTTCTTATTAAAGTCTAGCGCCCAAACATAAAATAAAAGCTGTTGCAATTTATCACAAGTATTTTATCAGTTAATAAATTTAAATTTAGATCGTATTGAACAACCTTACATATCGGACGTGGTGCTTGATTACAAAATGAGCACGATGTGACGACATTAAAAACATAATTTACAAGACATGCTGGATTTTATCATCGTATACCTAAAAATATGTAATATATATATATCATATACGTACAATGTACTGTTTACAATGCATAGATGGGTCTAGTATCTGTAGTAGGTTGGCTTGAAGGGTCCTGTCTTGGACAATCCCATATACTTGGCTTGCTCGTCGGACAACTCCGTGAGGTTTGCCTCGAAGGCAGCGAGGTGAAGGGAAGCTACGAACTCGTCCATCAACTTCGGCATGAGGTAGACGTCAGCCTTGTAACGTCCAGCTGGGGCATTAAACAGTTCAATCAACGCCAGCGCCTGAAATAAAGTTTGATGCAAAACTAAGCAATATCCAGATTCTTCTCCCGAAAATTACTCAAATATTTTGAATCAAGATCGAAAATCAGAGAGAGTACAGAGATATATTTCCCAGGAAAATTTTAACCGACTATTTGTACCGATGGCGAAGATTGCGGGTAAATAATTATGGACTTTATATGTTCGCCATCGGTTTGTCGGAGATAAAATGTTTGCAGGGTTGTATTAAAAGGCTAGAATACGCGATATTTTCAGCAGCGTGACGGTGTTACAGATTGTTGCGTACAACTAGAGTACATTAGCAATTAGAAATCTGTGGGAATAGTTTTTTAAGTTCCATAGAATACTTCTTAACATTTTTTGTTTATTCTGTTTAACGAACTCAGAGATCTGAAATGCAGGGAAAGGGAGCACCCTGAATTGATTTTACCTGAGTAACTGCAGTAATAGAAACCACGAGACTAGGAACTGAACTGCAGGACAGGTTGACCCTTCTTCCCTCTGCCAGCAGCACCATACGCTTACCACCCGGCCAGATAATGTGATCAACCTGACTACGCACTTTCTCCCAGATCAGATCCTGGGTCTTCAAACTCAACACATCAATCTCGGTGTTGGAGTGCCCCATGTTGCACACGATGCATCCGTTCTTCATCTTGTCCATGTGGTCGCGGGATACAACGTTCTTGTTCCCAGTGGCGGTTATCACAATGTCAACCTATTTTTTTTAAGTTTAATTTTTTCTTTTTCATTGCTTCTTTAGCTAAATTTTTTCACTTCACAGAGAAATCATAATTTGAAATAATAAAATTTCCAAATTAATACCATGTATGTCAAAATTATTGATATCAAACGAAGCTTTTAAGGGTACCGTTGGCAATCGGACATGCCTCTAAATTCAGGGTCATTTAAAATTAATAATTACACATATGATATTTCATTTGATTTAATTATTTTTACCTGTTTAATAACCTTCTCTAGCTTGACAATCTGGAATCCGTCCATGGCCGCCTGGATGGCACAGATGGGATCAATCTCAGTAACGTAGACGACGCATCCCATACTCTTCATGGACTGACAGCATCCCTTCCCAACTTGACCATATCCACAAACAACAACCTAGACAATTAAAGCTGAAAACTGTTTCTCTCTTTATGGAAATCCCTACCGGATTCCAACCAATGAGAGTTCTCTCAGTTAATTGCGAGCAAAATTTCAAATTTCCCGGCTTCTGATTGGTTTTTAGGGATTCTGCATAAGATTGATTGGTGGAATTTTAGATACTTTCCTAGACACAAACTAAAGATTAAAATAATCTTAAGATTAACAAAAGAGGAGATCAAGCATTGATCTCGATATCTAAACACGGACTATATTGTCAATACAACGAGGATATAACATTTTTTATTTCATTTTTATTTTGAAAATTTCAACAAGTTTTTCTCTCATAGTACAAATGATAAAAAATATTGTCATCTTATGATATTGGTTTGTAACAAGAATTACAGGATGACAGAAGAGAGATAAAGATAAAATAGCAAGTGCACAAACCAGTTCACAAAAATACGAATCAATGGAAACCTCGATCACATTCATCAAGCATGATGCACGATCAATGAGGGAGATTTGTACTATCAAATAAATACTGATTGTACGAAAATTTGAAGTTTTTAGCGTTTTCCCCTTTAATAATACGTTTTAGTATGAAATGCGCGCATTTAATTATATTACTTAATTAATATAATAAAACAAGACATTTGTATATATGTTCCTTATAGCCGGCCAAACGGCTGGACCGTATGGGATGACATTTTTTGAGGGAACCCAGAGGTATCCCGGGGGTAACATAGGTTAAAAAATTAATTTTTTTAAAATTTTTATTTCACGGGCAACGCCGGGCACTTCAGCTAGTGATTTATGATTTTTAATGTTTTAAAACATATTTTTTTTGTCTAACATTGTGTTGATATGGTTTAGACTTTCAGGGGGGGGGAGGTAAATTGTCACAGGGAACTTGAACTGATGCAAGACAGGATAAAAACCCCATTTTCCAGATTTGTTTGCAAAATTAAAAATAGAGGAGTGGTCTTTCTTCTTCACTGAAGCTTTTACTCTGACAGACATTGACTTGATATGATATTAATGGTTCAAGCCCCGCCAACTGCAAAAATCAAAAACTGATAATAATTCAGCCAGACTGATGTGTCTATGGAAAATATATATATATAAACTAAGAGCTTTATTATAAAGACGACTTCCCGATTGAATGCTTACGTTACAGAGGAAACCAACCCTTCACACAATCCTCTATGTTCATTCGGGATTTATCATTGAACTTTCAATGACGTGTGCAATGATACTGTCTATATATCGAACTTTTTTATCTAAATTTGAAGTGTCCCTCTAATTAAATGAGCATACCTAATTCACAACGGTACTCATTAATTATTAACGTGGAAGATATCCCTTTTTCTTTTATGACAATTTCTCTAATTTTTTCTGCGGCAGAAAAAATTAGAGAAAAACCACAATAGAAATTATCAAGTTACATAGTTTTTTAAAACATGGATATTTCATGGATTCTTGATCAGACAAAGCTTTTAATGATTCCATTGTGAATCGGATATTGTCACTTTTTTTTAAATGTTGGCCGAGGGTAATTTGAAATTACGTATACCTTCCCTTTAAGCGCAGAGCATATAGGTACGTTCATTCCTAAATTTTTGTCGGCTAAAGATACCAATAAAATTCCATAAAACTTTTTAACTTTAAGTTATTGTTAAAATAGTTTGGAAATCTCTCAAACAAAATCCTGGTGAAATATGACAAAACTCAAATAAAAAACACAGTGAAGAGAAATCTATAACGTAAAAGATTATGCGAAAAAATACCTGTTTCCCGCCAAACATAAGATCAGTCGTTCTCTTCAAACTGTCGACAATCGACTCCCTGCAAGAGTAGAGGTTGTCGAACTTGGTCTTGATGACACTGTCGTTAACGTTCATGGCGGGGATGGTCAATTTGGACGACTGGCTGAGTTGGTAGAGACGATGGATACCTGTTACACTTTCCTCTACTATACCCTACAGAAAACATTTTAACAATCAAACTTTAAATATACAATTTCAATTTTATATTGACTTGAAAATAAAAAAGGTTTTAGAAATAAAAGTAAAGTTAAATTAAATTTGAAAAACAGTAAAAACAGAAGTTTATCGAATATTTAATAAACAGATAATTCCAATTGTTTTATTTGTTATCCTGTAAATTAATGTTTGCACAATAAATGTAAAATATATGAAAACTCAAGATAAGAAGTTGAAAAAGTTTACATATGTTTAAAATTAATATTTAGTCTTGAGTCCATAAATAATAGTTTATGAGTTCAGGATTATAAACTATTTCTCCTCAGCCGAGTAATAAACATCAAGATCAGATGTTGATCTCAATCCGCCATTTTTAACTTATTCTTGCATGCAAGGTCATGACTTTTGAATAATTGATGTGAATCTGTCAACCTCGTATTGGATAAAAACTGTCTAAAGTTTTTTTTAAAGGATTTGGACTTCTAATGGTTCAAAAATTAAGTTTACAAATAAAAAATAAATTAAATTCCAAAAAATTGACCGAGATAAGAAATATGCAAAAAACGATCCAAAAACATGTGTTTTTTTGGTTGTTTCCCCCTTGCTTAATTCATTATAAGCAAGTTTTTACAGAATACAGTTTGAACTCTTGAAACCTTCAGATTTTTCTGGTGCCTTTAAAAGTCCGAAAGGGAACCAACATATTTCCCATTGTACATGATGGACATACTTCAAACTCCCAAGTTTTATCTTTTAACAGACTTGTTCTACAAATAAATTAATATGAGAGGGGTTGCTAATGAGCGTCGCGAAATTATTTCTTACCACTCGAAAAAAATTCATTTACAGAAAAAATGTTAAAATTTCCTTAAGAAGCTTAAAGATTGCTGGAAATTTTTTGACCATGATATGAGTAGCATCCCCTCCATCGTCCAATATCATATTAGGCTGCCAGGAATCAGCACTAAAACAGCGAAAAATTACCTAAAATGTTGTTAAAAATAAAACAACTTTGCGCTCAACGCAAACTTTCAAACCGAATAATGACAACCAAAGATTTCTTTGAGATTTCAGAAAAAGGAAAAAAAACAGCTGAAAATTATAGTTTCGTGGTTCCAATTCAACTTACCAGGGGATAAAAACCAAATAACATTTATTCCATGGAGTTTTTTGCAGGATGATAAAAAGTATTTTCAAAAGAAGCAAAAGGATTTTTACTTTTAGGAGAACATCATTATATATTTCTGATAGGACCTCTCATTAATAATACTAATAGTTTTCACCACCAGAAATCCTTGTATTAACAATACCTAAAAGTTTTCTCAATACACCACCAGAAATCCTTGTATACAATACCTAAAAGTTTTCTCAATACACCACCAGAAATCCTTGTATTAACAATACCTAAAAGTTTTTTCAATACACCACCAGAAATCCTTGTATTAACAATACCTAAAAGTTTTTTCAATACACCACCAGAAATCCTTGTATTAACAATACCTAAAAGTTTTCTCAATTCACCACCAGAAATCCTTGTATACAATACTTATAGTTTTCTTAATACACCACCAGAAATCCTTGTATTAACAATACCTAAAAGTTTTTTCAATACACCACCAGAAATCCTTGTATTAACAATACCTAATAGTTTTCTCAATACACCACCAGAAATCCTCCTCGTTCTCCCCCCTCCAGGCGAACACAGGGATACCGGTCTCTGCCAGGGCGGCAGCAACCTCGTTCTGGGTACTGTGTATGTTACAGGCAGACCATCTTACCTAATTAACATTATTATTAACTATCAACCTACAGAAAAGGTACCATAACCTGTAGGCTTTAATACAAAGAATGATAGGGTAGTACAATACTACATATATAACCTTAACTACTACATATATCTTGGATCAAGCTTAGCTCTTTAAGAATAACCTAAGAAATTCCTCAAGTCTAATAGCCACATAGTTACTTCGTGGGCTATATGAGGTACTACATTTTCTCCAAGAGCAAACTAGATTCTACATTTGCTCCAAGAGCAACCTAGGTACTTCATTTGCTCCAAGAACACACTGGTTTCAACATTTGCTCCGAGAGCACTCTGGGTTCTACATTTGCTCCAAGAGCAACCTAGGTACTACATTTGCTCCAAGAGCACTCTGGGTTCTACATATGCTCCAAGAGCAACCTAGGTACTACATTTGCTCCAAGAGCAACCAAGGTAATACCTGAGCTCCAAGAGCAACTAAGGTTTCGACAAGAACTGCAGTTTGTGCGTTGATGTGAGTACAGCCGACAATTCTAGAAAAAGTTCAATTTTAACAAACAAGTTCTGCCCCCCCCCCCCCCACCCTCACCCTTCAAGAGAAGCAGAGAGCAGTTTTAAAAGAAAATATTTAAAAAGAATTAATCTGACTAAAAGAAGATAATTAGACTATTGAAAGTTTGATGTAAACTTAACTTCGATCATCTCATGTTTATTGTTTATGTGCAGAAAAGAGAAAAAAAACCTCAGTACAGTGGGACTCGTCAAAATGTGGAAAAGTAAGAAAAGCTAAATGAACATAAAACACAGAAATTCTGCAGTGTCCACAGAAACATTTCACCTCAGTTTATTTAAAGCTAATGCAAGAACAATTTGCTTTGTTAAAACTTTAAATACACAAATAACTGCTTAAATTTCGTCTTCTTGTTCCGTAGTTTTATAGGATCCGCTGTATAAAGATAATTGAGTCTTTAAGCCTTTTCTAGTAAAATAAGTTGATTTTGAACTAACCTGGCAGACTTGAGTGGTTTGTCCTCCTGGGCCTTTGATCTAAGCGCCATTATACCCGGCATCTCTTGTTCAGCAATCTAAACTTGAACAAAATAAACCACAAAAACCCATTACAGTACGCAATCCATAAACATATAACAAGTTTTTAATCTGAATAACAATCTTCAATATAGTTCGTTTGAAGAGCCGTAAGAATTATTTTTGGGAATGGGAGAAAACTTATTTATTTAACCCTAACCCTAGATAGTATTGAGATCTCACAATTTTGATTAAACATGTTTGACCTCTATACTAAATATTTAAAAACAAGACATTCGTTTATATATGTTGCGTATAGCCGGCAAAACGGTTGGACAGACTGGGCTGATTTTTTTTGTGGACACTCAGGGGTGTTATAAGCTAAAACAATTCAAAAAAAATTCTCTAATTTTTTAGTTCTTTTTTTATTAAAAAAAAAAAATTAAATTTTTTCCCACGGGCAAAGCCGGGCCCTTCAGCTAGTACTAAATATAAAGCTAGGAAGTAAGTATTATACCTCTATTTCCCTTCTGCCATAAGCATGCTGAGAAATCTTCTTCACGCAAAAATCCGCAAATCCGGTAGAATTCTTCTGAATCTTCTCCCGGGGGGACAGCTCGTCCTCGGAGCTAGACTCTAGAATACAGAGTGTCCAGTATACACGAGAATTTAATGAAGAATTCTAAATTGTCTTTCATATAAACGTTATTTTTTGCAAGTATAAATCCAATCAATAGAGCTAAAAATAGAAACTATGTAATTTTTAAAATATGGTCCGCCATTCTTGTACCTTCAAACCTTTAAAGAGATATTTAGAAATGTGTAAAGAATTTATGTCAGAAAGTTCCAACATTCAACTTGGATCGTAAAAAATCAATTTAATTCCAAACAAATCATTCAGATATTACAACCTAGAATCATCGATTATTTTTCGGTTAATTCGTATATAGTAGATATTTCATAATATTTTTTAGTCGTTTCATTTAGAATATACTTTAAAGGACGTTTATTTGGCCGCTAGGTGTTTCTGTCTCGATGCTTCTGGAGTTTCACGTGGAATTGAGACTCAAACTACACCTAGCGACAAAAGAAAACGTCGTTATAAAGTACATCGTAAACGAAACAGTACAAAATATTATTAAACATTAATTATATACGAATGCGTCGAAAAACAATCGATGATTATAGGTTGTAATATCTAAATGAATTAAATTGATTTTTTTACGATCCAAGTCGAATGTTGCAACTTTCTGAATTTGTATGGACGCTTCGGTATGAGTCGTTTTTAACAATTTTCTCCTTATAGACGCAACAGATAGAAGTAAGATTGGTAGCGATCACTATCGAAAAGTTTTTCGACGTAATCCTATAACCCCTTTTTATTTTTCGCGAACAGTCCTTTTCGTCCGTTGTAGAGTCTGCTCCATTGTTAATTAACATGAAGCCTGAATGTACTTTGAGATCCTAAAACCGATATTTCGTGATTTAACTGTTGTCAATCACAATAAAGAGATTTTTCCTTTAGTTCATAAAAATAGAAAAAGAATATTGATAAAATGTTTAGATGGTCTCGAAGGGATATTTACTTATTTAGAATGTTACCCTTGATATTGAAATAACCATCGGAATAATCGGAATTATTTAATAGTGTTAACTATGGTTAACTATGGTAGACTGTGACAAAAGAGAAGTTCAACAAGCCATACCTAGTTTAATACGATTTATTCATTATTCATTAAATCCGACCTCAGGAATAATCCAAATAACCTTTAAAGGGACTGTAAGCGTAATTTCAAGTGACCCTCGGTGCAAAGATGGCAATGCCTGATTTACAACGGTACCATTGAACGCTTTGTTTAAATCAAGTATGAATCAGTTATCAATGTTTTTTTTATTTAAACATTTTTTTTTTCATTTGCGGTTTCTCTGAGAAAGTGACTTCCGCATTTCTCTCTTAAAAAAAGCAATGGAGAAACAAAAATAAACATTTATCAAGTTAGAAAAATCTTCCAAATTTTTTATCAGATTAAGGTTTCGAGGGTATCGTTGTAAATTTCCATGGAGGATCACTTGAAATAACGATTTGAATGTCTGGTGTCAAGTACCTGAGTAGGACCCTGAGCTACTGTAGCTGTCCTGAGATGAGGCAGATGCTGATCTAGATCTATACTTCTTCTTCCCAACCACCTTGGCTGCAGCCGGAGAATCCGTCCTACCCTGCTCTTCACTCAACAACTTGGTCCCGTCCCGCGTATTCGCTCCCTCAGCGGTGACAGCAGCCATCTCTAGTTCTTGGTTTCCACTTCCAACAATCTTTAATCTAAACACAATATAGTTTATGACAGGTAAATATTCAAGCAATAGACCTCATGCAAATAGGATATTTGGCCTGAATAAAATTTCTATTGTTAGTTTGTACTATCAGAATTCATTATAACTTTGAGATTGAACTTTAGGCAGTTAAATTCAATAATCATAAATACTAAAAAATCATTAAAACATATTTTGATAGAGCTGTAGTGACATATATATTTATAAGGCAAGAAAATAAAATTAATAAAAAAAACTCAAATAAAATCTAATCGCGAGAGAGGTCGAGATAAAATAAAATGGCAATTATTTAAAAACTATCTTCGCTAACTACTGAAAAATAAAACATTTATGCCAAAAAAATCTTGCACTTAGTTTTTTAGAGTTTTTCAAAAACATTTCTAACATAAAAAAATCTTATTTTATCGGAATCAATTTCAAAGCATAGTAAATATAATTGAATGATAAAAAAAAAAAAAAAATAATGTTCCAAGTTAGTATATAAGTGAATGATACTTAATTGAACTTTAAAGCGATTGTAAAGAAAACGTGAAAGGGGGTATAGGCTGAAACCTAAGCATTTTAGGAGTTAATCGAGACCCATAAGATTTCTATCGGATGTTCTTCTCTCGAGAAATTGATATAAAACCGTGTTGAATTTATACTAAAATCTATATATATATATAAAATTTTGTATGAAGATTGTAGACTTAAATAGATTATATTCAGCAAATACGCAACCAATCTGAAAACGACGATATCCCAGAGGAGCCTGAGTAACTTAGATTTGCTCCTATTATTATTTGAATTTTATATCAATTTCTCGAGACAGGAACATCTGATAGAACTCTTATGGGTCTCGATCAACTCCTAAAATGCTTGGGATTCAGCCTATACCCCCTTTCATTTTTCCTTTACAGTCCCTTTAAATAGAAAAAAATATATAATAAGACGATAAATGTAAAGTTGTATTTTAAACACTGATAATTTAAGAGTGGCATGGCCGATTCATAAATCCTGAATCAGCATAAATCTGCAATGCACTTTGTAGAGAAACCGCAAATGAAAATTACCAAGTTTTTGATAGAAAAACATATTATTGCGCAGATAAAGGTTTTAACGGTACGGCTGTGAATCGGACAGGCAACTCACTCTATAGAGGTCATTCGAAATTATGTTGACAGTCCCTTTAATTAGTTGGAAAATCAACATGAGAAACTTTATTCGCCTTAATCGCAGTGAAATAAATTGAACTTAAAATCTACATTTCGATTCTTAGTCTAAAACTTTGTTGCTTTAATGCTAAAATATTGAAATATCCGTTGCTGAATTATAAGAGTAAGGTTGGATGACATAAATAAAGATGGTATCGTGCAGGGTTGGAAGCATGCTATAGCTTAAAATATTCAATATAGAATCTTAGTATTTAACTAAGTAGAGGATAAAATTAAATATTGGGGATTTATTTGCAATTCATATTGTTTAACCCTTTAGGACAAGCCCCACACAAAACAGAAGAAAATATAAATTGTCCTTCATAACTTTCTACTGAAGTTTTTGTTTGACTAAAACATATTTAGGTTAAATTATTAGAACTAGATAAAGAAGAATTATATTTAGTATAAAGTATAAAAGTATTTAGTATAAAAGTATAAAAGGATTAGATAGAGTATCTAATTGTACAGTAGTTATGTATGATATCTAGATATTATGTTATATATGAATATTAGAACTGGATACAGTAGAGTTAGATATAGTATCTAGATATTAGGTTATGTATGAATATTAGAACTAGATACAGGAGGGTTAAATATGATATCTAGATATTAGGTTATATATGAATATTAGAACTAGATACAGCAGGGTTATAGATATGCTATCTATGTATTAGGTTATATAAGAATATTAGAACTAGATACAGGAGGGTTAAATAAAGTATCCAGCTATTCAACTATGTTGATTGTGGATGAAATATTTCTATGATAGGCTACGGGGATCAGATTTCACTGTTATGTAGAATGACAAAACTTTGTTAAAAGGAGACCTACGTTGCTTTAGAAACTTGTCTGCCTAGTAAACCTATCCTTGGTGGATACTGCTCTGAACCACCAACATTATTAGATGAGTGCTGAGCTCCAGCTAGAGCTCTGTAACTATACTTTCTTCTCCCTACCTCCATATCTACTGTGGGGTCCTGGAGGTTTATATTCTCTTGACTCCGGGAGTAAAATCCGCCAAACAATTTAATTTACATTCTCGGGTAATAGATAAATATGACTAAAGTTAATAATGGAAGTTATCATTTCATATTCAGAGCAATTTATATTAATAAGGAATATTGATATTTATAGCTTCAGGGAAATTGGTACTTTCAGTAAAAATAATCAATTCTACAAGATTTGTGTCATCAAAACTTTTTATTCCACTCCAGTCCAGATAAAAGGTAAACCTGCCTAACCTGTAACCCCCCCTCCCCCCACCTATCAATTAACACTTATCATGTTCATGATAGTTTTAGGAGAATATACATGCATTAGGAATAAGATTAATTCGATCCTGTATTAAACACAAATAAAAAACATTTCTATCATACAAAAACGCAAACAATCTAATCTTGTTATCGATCGTCTTCGACAGAGAAGATTTTTGACTAAGTTGACATGTACACTTGGGTTACGTAAACTCAATTCTCTGTATATGTACAGGGTATATGTACACGCAATATACATGTATATGTATACAAAAATTGTCTGTGTATGTACAGAGATTACGTGGTTACGTCAACTTAATTGTCTGTATATGTACAGGGCTTATGTAATCTCAAATGTCTCTATATGTACAGGATATATGTCAACTCAATTGTCTGTATATGTACAAGGGTTATGTCTACTCAATTGTCTGTATATGCACAGGGGTTGTGTATACTCAATTGTCTGTATATGTACAAAATAATGTAAACTCAATTGTATATATATGTAATGAGTAGTGTTTACACAATTGTCTGTATATGTACAGGGATTATGTAAGCTCAATTCTCTATATGTGTGCAGTGTAGTGTACACACAATTGTCTATATATGTACCAGCTGCAAAATAAGCTTCCTTGTTAAAATATAAAAATTAGATGACTCAGCATTGATATGTGTAAAAATAAGTTTGTATAATAAAAAAGTCATGCAAACATGCAAAATAACTAATTATAATTGCAAAACACCAGATCTAACTAATCTCACCCATCCTGTTGCCGATTTGATCTTCCTCTGCTGAACCCAGACTTCTCCTTCCTCTCTATGGTTGAGAGCTCCGCATGCTCTTCACTCCCGAACCCACTCCCGGAGGGTTTAGACATTTTCTCCGCCTCACCTCCAAATCCAGGATTAGCGGACATCCTTCCAAACTGAGTGTTGACGGGAAACTGGCGTAGATATCACCTGATCAAACTTGTTTTGAAAGTTGGGTTGGACCGATAAATGTCAAAAATAAATTCAAATACCAAAGACGACTTTCCAGTCGTCTTGCTATTGTCATGTTTCGTGGGACACCCTGTAGCTAAACAAGAGAGGAAGTTTCAACTTTCAAAAATCCAAAAAGAAAAAAGCTTTTTATCAAAACCCTTTACTATTTTAACCAAGTCGAAGTCAAACAACTTTACGTAGAGAATGTACACTTTTGGTGATTTTCAGTTAAGGCTGGGCAATTGGGCATATCACCATCACATAAATCGTGTATATAATATAAATACAAGGCTTCCAGTGCTCATCTTTGATTTTAGCTTTTAATTTTTGCTCTATCTGCGGGTTTTTCTTATTTAATATCAAACAATAATAAAAAAAACTACACGGATATATAGATTTTTATCGTGGGTTTTGAAAAATCGATTTTTCTAAAGTTAAATTTGTAAAATTCTGACCATCCATCCTTCCCCGGGGTTATGTGAGGTCCCACCATCGGGTCCCACCATAGATAAATAAATGGGTCCCACATAAAATATGGACCCGATCAGTTCAGTCGTTTTGACGTTTATTGGACACAAAAAGACAGACAAGCAAAGTATATATTTATAGAAATAAATTATCTAATAAAAAGAGTTCAGGAAATTAATGAAGCCTAAATATTCGCTAAACAATCAAATTGATTTTGTGATTAAGTTTTCACATTTTCCAAATTTTTTAAAGATTGTAGAAATATTAAAGTCCAGAGATAAGGAGGGCAATTAGTTTAAATATTTATCACATTTGCAGAGACGGGGGGGGGTGTGAAAGCAAATCCCAGAAAATTGAAGCTTAAAAGAGTTGGTGTATATGAAGATGGAGTAAATTCTATCTAAAAATTTCAGAAGAAATTTCGTTTTCTAGTGAAAATATAATTTTTTAATGATGCTATGATTATTGATTTAGTTAGCTGTGATGGAGTTAGGTGATAAATTTATAAAGTTAAAAAGTCAAAGTTAGTTTTTCGAGCAAAGGACTCTATAAGGTTAGTAACACCCAAAATTGTAGTCTTTTTGATGTATTTTTATGGTGTTAATTGACTTTTTGAACTAAACAATTCCAGGGGGGGGGGCAAAAATTTGTTGCCTCCGGGGGGGGGTCGATTCACGATTAAGCTTAATACATGTCCCTGTTTTAGATTCCAGTTTAGTCTACCTGGTCAGATGAAAAATAGATAAAAAATCAGGTTTAGTATTCCAGTCTTTGACAATATCTCAGAGAACCATGCTACAGACTTTACAGAAAACAGTGAGCTCGATTGACAGGATGGGTTCAAGGTTCCTACCAGTGCTCCGTCAGGTTCGGAGCGCATCCACAGGATCAGTTCTGCCTGCCAAAACCTGCCTGTACGATTTCCATGTAGAGAACGGAGGAAAGATGGTTGAGTTTGCAGGATATAGTATGCCAGTGGAGTATTCAAGTATGGGAATAATACAGTCTCATTTACATACAAGGAGGAATTCATCAATATTCGATGTGTCTCACATGCTTCAGACCATTGTCCACGGCAAGGTTAGAAAGTTTTTTGTTAAATATTAGGCAAAAATAGAAGTATTAGGAAGCATATTCGTGAATTTTATTTTTCATCTGTCGCCATTTATCTTAAAACAAAATTCCGCGTAAAACCAAATTAAGAACAAAAATCTGGCCATTATTACCCGAAACCAGTTTATAAAATTATCATGCAATTGTTCTTTTAGGATAGATTTGATTTCATGGAGAGCTTAACAGTTGCTGATGTGAGAGGTTTGAAGCCTAATACAGGAACTCTGACTGTATTCACGAATGAGAGAGGGGGTATCAAGGATGATCTAATTGTAACCAACTCAGAGGGTTTCCTCTACGTGGTTTCCAACGCTGGGTGTCGGGAGAAGGATATGGAGGTGATGAAGAGAAGGATTAAGGAGATGCAGGCGGACGGGAAGGATGTGAGTCTGGAGTTTATCGAAGATAAAGGATTGGTGGCTCTGCAAGGAACTTTTTCTTAAAATAAACGTGAAATGACGCAAACCCTTTTACATATTTATGCGAAAAGGCGGAAATTTATTAATAAGAGTGTATGCAACCTTTTGGATCCCCTGAGTTGCCAAAATTTGTGAAATTCAATCATCTCTTTGGCACTTAAAAGATTGACCCGGTATTGACAATTAATAAATTTCTTCTCTGATTTAGGTGCTTACTACAAAATCTTTTTTTCGACAGATTTTTTCACATTTTTCTAGTCAACTCCCAACTTCCAAGTTTCCTAAATTTGAGAAAAGGTTTGACAAGGACCAACTATGAAAGAGGTTCTCCAACCCTTGACGAGCATAGATTTATCAAAACTAGGTAAAATATTATTGTTTTGCTGGATCAAATAGGTTTCAAAGATGTAGGGATTTATAATTTAAAGTTTGAACAGTTAGTTGCTTTGTAGACATATAACTAAATTGTAATTGAGAAAAAATTTAAGATACTTGAGACGCCAACAAATGAAGTTTTCATATCCTATTTTGTGTTCAATATTAATACGTGAACACTGTTCATGTATTAATATTCATATATATATATATTTAGGGATTAAAAAAGATAAATAAATTCTTCCTAAACAGACAAGGATTAAGTTCTTCTTATCACGTTCTACGGACAACTGAACACAGTCCAGGGGCTGGGATAATAAGAAAACTCAAATATAAATCTGCTCCTTTGACATTCAAAACACAATTTTAACTTCACAAACATGGCATTAATTAGACAAACAGAGAGTTTACTATTGTAGTTTTATTTTTAAAACAAGAAGTATGATAGTCCTTACTGGACCCCCAGACAATATTTGTTTAACTCCTGGAAGCTTATTTGAATACAATACAATTCATGGATTTAATCTATATTCAAACAAAAAGGGAGTAATCTTAGGTTTTATTTTTTTCAGCGTTTTTTTGAGACTCCTTAATTGCACTGTGCCAGTAACAATTCACAACAGTACCATCGAAACCCATGTTTAAAAAACGAGGAAAGAGAAAAACAAATCTTAGCAATTTTCTTGCTCGTTTCTGATTATGAACTTTATGAGTCGCTTATTGATGGCACAAAGTTGAGTCAATAAGTTCAATTCCCATTAAATTACAAACAAAAATGCAAAACAGCTTGGTAAACTTTTTCTTAAAAAATATAAACTACAATAACAATGATTCCACCAACGCCATATCCTGAAAACTGACAAGTCACATGATATTCCGGAAATTGGAACTCAGGAGAGTAGTAATCTAGTTCTTGAAGGGACTGTAAGCGTAATTTCAAGAGATCTTTCATTTAAAAAGTTGTATCCCTGATTTACAACGGTACCATTTAAACCTTAGACTGAGCAAGGATGTCCGACAGATCACTATTTATTTACTGAAACGTTTTTAATTGTTTAACACTTTGTTTCAAAGGTGTTAAATATATAAGAAATATCAATAGCATGGAGGAACACTGGAAATAACGGTTACAGTCCCTTTAAGCAAACGACATGATTCAAGGTCTAATAAATCTTTAATTCAATTAATTACAGTTTCTGATGAATGTTTTAAATATTAATTCATCCTGGAGATCCATCCAACCCTTCCCTGACCAATTAATTAAGTTTTAATATTGTTCTAGGTTTCATGAGTAGTGGGCTAGGTTCAGTAGCTGGTATTCCAGACTGCAGGATAACAAGGTACAATCAAGACAAACACCAGAATAAAAAACTTTATTGTAAGTTTTTCAAGCACAGATCTTGCACCCCCCCCCCCTTAACCAGACCACCAATTATTATTCGCAAAAATCTACAGAATTTTTCCATAAAGTTTTGACTTAAGTGCTAACTATATGTAATGTGTATGTACTATGTAGTGTGAGTAAGAGTGTATAAATTCCTAACTAGGTCAGAGAATAACGAATTTATTGTAGAACAAACAAATCTATAAAACTCAGCAAAACAATATTTATTTAAGCCTTCTTGGTTTAGATGTGGATATACAGGAGAGGACGGAGTAGAAATATCAGCTCCAGATACTAGGACAAGAGAGCTAGTTGAAACCTTACTCCAGTCCTCAGGTAGAATAGTACACCAGGACCAGAGATCTAGCTGAAACCTTAATCCAGTCCTCAAGTAGAATAGTGTACCAAAACCAGAGACCTAGCTGAAACCTAAATCCAATCCTCAGGTAGTATAGTGCACCAGGACCAGAGATCTAGCAGAAACCTTAATCCAGTCCTCAGGTAGTATAATGGACCAGGACCAGAGAGCTAGCTGAAACCTTAATCCAGTCCTTAGGTGATATAGTGTACCAGAATCAGAGAGCTAGCTAAAACCTTAATCCAGTCCTCTGATAGTAGTGTACCAGGACCAGAGAGCTAGCTGAAACCTTGCTCCAGTCCTCAGGTCGTGTACCAGAAGTATAGTATAGTTTACCAGATTATAGATATCAAAACCTTACCCAAATTCAATATTAGTCGATCATACAGTGGTTACCAGAAAACAGTGGAATGTTGTCTTGCCTAAGAAATGCGCTAAATATTTGGTTATTTGTAATTGTTATAACCGATATACGTCTACAAAAATACATTTTTAGACAGCAGACAAGAATAAAAAATCAAAAAAAATGAAAAATACAAAATCATTACCAATATTTCTTTTTAAAAAAAAGACTACGATCATTCCACTGCTTTCTGGTTCCCACATAGGACTCTCCTGACTATATACATAGAGGTAAACCCTAAGAAATATCAGAGAAATGATATATAAATGTAAATAGAGAATTATAAAAAGAATTCTCGAGTTTTCAATGTCAATCTAGTAAATATTTTTGATCAGGAAATCCTGCATTGGCTGGACTAGGTGCTAGAGACTCATTAAGGTAAAAAGTAATATTCTTGTTTTTGTTTAAAATCGAGGATTAGTTAGTTTCTAACTTTTACTCTTTATTCGGGTTTCATATGTCTAATTCTGGGATAATAAGAAGGCTTTTGTAGGGCGTCGGGTTCGGGTGTAATTAGATTTTCTATAAAACTATTTTTAAACGATAAAGTTATGCAGAAACTTTTATTACACCACCAAACGTGCAACAATAATAAATTAATCCTTTTCATTCCTACTCCTGCTTCTACTCCTACTACTACTACTACTACTACTACTACTACTACTACTCCTTTACTCCTACTCCAGGTTAGAGGCAGGACTGTGTTTGTACGGAAATGATATAGATGAGGAAACTACTCCTGTTGAGGCAACACTAGCCTGGACTATTCATAAAGCTAGGTTAGTAGAATCTAATTCCAAGAAATCTGATTTTTCATAAATATGTTTCTGCAACTGATACGGATCTAATAAAGTAAAAACACCTTTTCATGTTTGATTCAATTGTTAAAGTTCACTTTTCTCTGCGCTGCAGTGTCAGAGATGAAACTAAAAGTCCTCCCTCCCCCTCCAGCTTCTAACATCTGTTAATATTTATACTATTAAGGAGAGTAACTGGAGGGTTTCCAGGGGACAACATTATCCTTCGTCAGCTGAAGGAGGGAGTGGAGAGGAAAAGGGTTGGGTTTCTATCCTCCGGACCCCCTGTTCGAGGGCATTGTAATATCACAGATGATCAAGGTTATGACAGTTTAGAATTGGGATTGTATAAATCATTTCTTTAGAAAATTACGCTTAACTAAAGTAAATTGAACTTCACAGTCTGAATCATAACTCCTCTTATAAAAGAGCTAAATTGTGACGACCAAAAATATTTTGAATTTCTAATATTTAACAAGATCGATTTATTACCTTCAAACATGTGCGTAAAATCAAAACTTGAGTCGTACCAGTAATATCGCATTAATTTGTCCTTTTTCTTCTGCAGTGTAACAATATAATTGACGGAACAGAAGTTTGTTCGTGAAAGGAAACTAGACCCTTAGAAAGTATAACTTTATAAGACTTAAAAAAAAAATAAGAAAATAGGATGTTATGTTACTCAGGAAATGTAGTTGGGGTAACTACTTCGGGATGTCCTTCTCCATCTATGGGAAAGGGATGTAATATATCCATGGGCTATGTTGAAAAAAAGGTGAAGACAAATAAAAATTTATAAATCAACTTTATTAGCGAAACCGACAATACATTTATAAAAATATCGAAATTTTGCAACAAGTTTAGAAAAAATAAAAATCGGTTGAAAACTGATCAAGCTGAACCTTGTTTTAGTTGAGCAAGATTGGAACTGAGCTCAAGATCATCGTGAGAAATAAACTCGTCCCTGCAGTCATTACCAAGATGCCATTCATCCCAACTAAATACTATACTGCACAGTAAACTTAGCTTAGACAACAACTAAACCCGGAGTAAAGTTTGTCTCTACTAAACTCTTCCTGGAGTAAACGTCGTTCCTACTCTCTTATAACTCTAACGTAACAACCTAACAATCTGAATGGATAAGTTAGATTGAACATTAAAAACCTAGCCCCTACAACCTTGAAACTAAACAGAACCCTCAATCCTCGAAGAAAAAGACGATCCACGGATCAGAGTTCGTCCCCACACCAGGGAATAAACCTGATCAAATGTTAATAATAAGTCCTTGTCATGGAACATAATAACTTAATGCTATGTATGAGAATTATCAAATATTAGGAATAAAGGTTAAGAAAAAAATGGTAAACTTTAACAGTATGATGAAGTTAAAACGTTATCAATATTATTGACAGTAGATAGTATTCATTACAATTATATCGCTCACCAATTTCCACATTGTTTTTAAACGTTTAAATTAATGTTTTTGTAATCCTTAATTTAGACATTCTAAAGTTAGTGTAGTTCCACGAAATATATATATATAGTGAGCTCGGACCCGCTCGACTAAACACTCTCATAAATTGAACATCATTCACAGCCTTCACATTGAAATGTCATCCACAAGCTATAAAGCCCGTATATATATAACTCCTTTCACCAGAACAGCGAGGAGATATATTTTTCGTTTGAACTATAAAGTTAACGAATAGATTGATAACATTTATATGATGTGTAGGGTTTCTACAATTTGCAGTAAACTGTTGCATTCGTATTTTGATAAGAGAAAGTATCTCACCATAGTTTTAGCTTGATTAGTATTATCATTGAATACAAGTTAAGGTTTATATTAATTATTGAAAAACTTACCAATTATCGTGGTTTCAACAACAGTCCTGGATAATTCACAGTTTAACTCTACCAGGGTTGAGTATCTGCTTGTTTTCTCTGGGTTGAGTCTAGTTATGACTGTACTCCGAACATTAAAACACACTCTCCCGGTGCAGGGTGCGCTCAGCTCTAGCTCCAGGGGGAGAGCTGAGTTGAGAGATAGAACGCAGTGCGGCAGTTTTCATCACACCCAACTCGGCATCAATGACTCCTTGGACCGTTTCAATGCAACTTGATTATTCTGAAATGTAAACTACATTATTTTCTTTATGTTGGAATATCTCTTCCTCCCTTCACTGAAGGAAACCCTGTCTCCCGGCTTTCCCTTACACTTACGATCTTATATTTATCACTTAAATAATCAAAACTCCAATCATATATATGCAGATATAAAAAAAACTACTAACGATTCTGATAACGGCAAAAACGACGATCTCTTCTTTGTTTTAACAAAAACAAATTTAATTTTTCTGTTTAATACATAATAAAGAGAATAAATTCTGAAATAGATTTATTCTCATAAATTTCAAATAGTAGCGATTTAACTGAAAAGGCTAGGTTGGGGGGGGGGAGAGACTTTTTTCTTCGAAAAACTTATGAGTGACCCTACTTATTGTAAAGTTTGAAAAAGTTGATGAATAAGTTAATAAATAAAAAGAACTAGTTACGGAGTAAAAAGAACTAGTTGCGGAGTAAAAAAAAATAGCAAGTTAGCAACAGGTAAACAGGGAACAGAGCACCAGCAAACAAATTAAGGAGAGATCCCCAATCCTAATAAATAAGCAACGTATCGGAATAATTTTTGTGCATACATAACTGTAGTCAGCCATGCTCAGAACTTCACAGAACTTTAAATTTAAATTTATCCCCCTGGAATTAAAAATCAAATAAAATCAGGCTTAGTGCCATCTTCCCACTTTTCTATATCAGGTCTGAAGAAAGGTATTAAAGCTTATATTAGTGGTTAGAGAGGTCCTTGTTAAATTAAAATGTAAAATTGTATACTATCTGTAATGGTTATTTTATTAAAATATTTGGTCAATCTATCTTCCATCTATGCATCTATCCATCCATCTATCTAACTATCTATCTATCTGAAAGACTGTTTAGACAAAGGAGGTTGTCTTCCGCCATACAGTGGCGTACTATGGGGGGGGGCAGTGTCCTCTTGCCACCCCTGGGAGTTCCAGGGGGGGGCCTGCCCCCCCCCTCCTGGAAAATACAAAACTTAAAGGAAACAATCTTAAAAAGTAACACCTGACAATGACAAAGACTAAGGATTTGTCTAAATTCAATGTTAATACAAAATTTTAAGATACTTTAAACAATTCCAGGGGGGGGGGCAAAAATTTGTTGCCTCCCTGGCTAAAATCCTGTGTACGCGCCTGCCGCCATGTGAAAATATTTTTCGAGTATCATTAACTTAATAAAGTTTGAAAATGAAATCGGCAATGCATCTTTTTCATATCAAAAGAACAAACGTCATTAAACAGTACACAACAATCTGCAATTTACAATCTGCAATCTGCATACTAGGAATAATAGTGTAGAGAATAATGGTGCTGGTACCGGGCCGAGCTTTGAAAGTTAATAGGGCCGGCTCTAGGTCTATCTATACTTTTTTCGGAGTCATTGACATGTCTACGTCAAAGGGACAGGGTAATCTTTGGTCTACATCTACAAGGGCAATATGTTGGCAGGTTTATACCTTCTTCGGTTAATTATATATATTATAATAAGGAATATAAGGAAATACTCTCCAAAACGGTTAAAATGTTAATTCAAAGAGAACACAAAAAAATAAAGTTGTACTATTTCCTTTGTTCTATAATATCCTGTTATAGCAAGTTTTCATAAATATATTTTATTTCTTACATAGTTCTAATTACTTAATAATTATATCAGGGATATCATCAAACATTTGAATACAAAAACTGAAGTCACTTTAAATTCTGAAAATCCATCCCTTTTTCTTCAAATTTTAATTATTTCGTTTAATACTTAAAAAAAATCAAAAATGCACACTGTACATTGATTGATTCATGAGAGTTTTAAGAGACTATCGTATGGTCAGACATTCAATGATTTACAAGATAACAGTTTTAATGATTTAACTTTTAAAGTCAAGTTTAATATATTTTGTATTGAGGATCAAGAAGTGTTACGAGACTTTTTAACGAACAGTAAAGCAAGAATAGGACTAAGGAGTTTTATTGAAGTTCTTCTGAAGAGAAACTTTGGGGTTGATCAGAGCTTGAGCTGAAACGAAGGACGGTCACTGAACTGTTCGAGAGTCATTCAACTTTCGCGAAGTTGACCATTGAGCTGGAAAGTGTTAGGATGTTTCGTCTAGATTCTCCAGGTATATTTTGGCTGTATTTAGGGTGTCTTCTTTCGTTTTTATTCTTTTGGATTTGCTTAGTGTTCCTAAAATAAAAAAAAACAGAATTAAGCTTCAAGTTGTGACAAACAAGAATTTATGACTATTTTTAACAGGGATAAGAATAGATTGTTAATAAAAGATAGGACAACTTAAGAAAAACATTATTTGAACAGTGTACTAAACCCATTTTCAGGAAGCGTGTTAATGTTAAAGATTAAGTTTTGAAAACTTTAAACAATTGAAAAACACCTCTTTCTCCAACCTAAATTAAGTTTTTGCAGTAAGGAGATTAATTTTAATATTACCTGAAATAAATTCTTCATCCTCTGAGTCGGAGAACCCGAAATGATCCTTTTTTCTTGTTCTAACTTTATTTATTAAAGATTTGGTTAATTTCTCCCCAGCTCCTTTAGACAAAATAAGATTGCTTTTATGAGTTTTCAAGGTTGACGCAGACTTCCCCAAGTTTAAATGATGACTTGAGATCCAATGTTCTTGGTTTGGAGCAGATATCTCCAAAGGAGAACTTGGAATCTGAAGGCCCAGTTTTGAATTCTCAAGGATGTGAAGAGGACTTAAAATCCGGGGTTCTAGGTTTGGAGCAGAATTATCTAGGCTTGGATGGGGACTTAAAATCTGAGGCTTTATGTTTAGAGCGAAATTCTCAAGGTTTGGACGAAGACTTGAAATCTGACGTTGCATGTTTAGAGAAGTATTTTCCTGGTTTAGATGAGAACTTACAATATTACGGTGGAAGTTTAGAGTAGAGTCGTTCCTGTTTTGATGAGACCTAAGTATCTCAGGTGGTGAAAAGCTAAGGCAAGGTTCACTAGATCCTGTAGACAGTTTACCCCAGGATAGATTACCATTTACAAATACAGGTTCCAGGTCTATATTTATCTCCTGCTCAGGTATCCAGGAACATCTGAAAACAGACAGGGTAAAATATCAAGTTCTTAGGATAGATATATTCCTTTCTCTTTAAATCTATGGGTTTCCGCTTACTTTCAAGATTTATGATACACAACATTTGAGTAGTTAATATCCCCCCCATAAAGTTAGAACTGGGGGCCATTTTTCTGTGAAACTATTTTCAACTAAATTAGGTTTGATTTGGATATATCAAAAATAAATTCTAATCCGTCCCGAAATGCAGAACTGTAGGACCGGATACAGAACCCATCTTACCTTCCAGGCACAAACTCCCCCGTTAGACTTCTTCTAACACAGTCGGGTAGAGCAATATCCGTAGATTTTCTATCATTGAACTTCTCCGGGGAGGTATTAGCACTAGAACGAGGTTCAGATGTAACTTGCTTCCAACGTGTATTATCCAAAGAAGCCTTGATCAAAAATCCTGACTCGTCCTCCTCAAACATCAAGGAAACCGGGTTTCTTTTCCTTTTCTTCTGTTCAGGTTTAGCTTTACTCCTTTCACTATTCTCCTTATCTGCGGGGTTTATTCGTTCATGTTTATGTCTTCGTTTTATTGCTCTTTCTTGTGTAGATACATTGTCCTGCGACAAATGATTTATCTCTTTTAAAACTTGAAATTCGGTTCCTTCGCAAACCTCCGTATTCTCGTCACAGCCTTGGTTGGATGATTCGTCTCTAGGAGGTATTTGATTAGTTTTGACAGGTTTAACTGGTATATCCATGAGAGAGAAAACAGAACCAGCTTCAGATGGGCTTGCATCCCTGAGAAATCTAGCGGATCTACGAACACTGAGACGGGTTGAGACTCGCTCTTTCTTCTTCTTCTTTCCGGCAGCAGCTGAAATTCAAGGGATAAAAACTTGTTTAACAGTTACAAAATATATTTTAATAAACTTACCTTTAACAGGTCCACAAAACATGATATCCTCAGACAGCAGAGCTTCAAGATATTCTTTCTTAAGGTTTTCATCAGATATATTTTCTAACTTGAGGTCCAGATTCTCATCTCTGAAAATAATAAAAATTATTGATTTTTTTGTATTTTAAACGTTATTATATATCGACATATTTGAAAACACCCACAATAAACCAAGTAATGGAATTGAACAACAGAGTCAAATTTTACCGCTCAAATGATTCCTTCAAGGCCAGTACAACCCGATAGTTTTGTCATTTTTGTCAGAAACTCCGATTTTGCTTATTTTTCCTGATTTTTCAAACCTAATTATAACATAAGAATAAGATATGAAAGAAACTCGATGTTAAGCCCCTAGACTTCTGTGTCCACTAACGCCTTCACAAGAAAAATACATATTCTTTGTACAACGCACCTGAAGGAATTTACTACGTCGGAAGGATATGAGTTAGTTCTTGATTCTTCAAGAAAACCGGATTCGTTCTCCGGATTTCTAGAGCTCTCTGAACAGCCAGAGTCAAGTTTCTCATCCTTTGATGGGGTCGGATGATCATGAGAGAGATCAGCAGAGGAGTTTGCAGAAAGATTGGGAGTAGTTGTTTCGATCTTGGATCTAGACAAGGAGTTGAGAAAACCAACTGCCTTCTCCAGGAGTAGCCCAACATCGGACTCAGTACTAAAATGCATATTTCAATGTTATCTATGTTAAGTAAAAGCAAGATGTATGTAATTTCGTGGCCTATAATCAAATATTCAAAAGAACAACATAGAATTTAAAAGAACACCTCAAGAAAACAATAAGATAAAATTACAGAGAACAGTTGTTATAATTCCACATTTGCGCTTTCAGTGAACACGACACTTTGATAAATGTTAAAAATACGACAATAATCTATAATATATACTTTTCTTGTCTATCTGTAAGTCAGTTTCTTTCCAATAAACGTCCAAATGGCTGAACCGATCGGACCAAAATTATTTGTCGAAATTTAAAAAATATGCCTTAAAATATTTTGGAAGTTTAAAAATTCACCAAAAAATTGATAAATCTACGAAATTTTTTAATTGTTGTTTGATAATTAAAGAAGAGAAAATGCCACAGAATAAGGTAAAATCAAGGATAGTCTAGTATATTATAATCATAAGAAAATAAAATTAATCCAAACCTTGTAGAAGGTTCGGTTTCAAAATCTGGAACGTTTTCAATTAATTTCTTTAATTTTTTCTCGTCCTTTGCACTAAGAGGTTTAGATGTTGGTTTCTTTCTTCCTTTGAACTGTTTCTGAATCTTGAGTTTCCTTTTCCGGTTCTTATCCTTATCGTTCTGCTTCCAGAATTGATATTCCTCGATATGTCTTTTATCCAAACCTTTCCCAAGATTCAGTTCTCCCTCCTCACTAAACCCTCTTCGGGAACCTTCGAAAATCGTTTCAAACTTCCTTCGAATTGGAGCAACAAAGTTCTTGTTTGTGTAGTAGTTGACGAGCTCCTCGTCCTCCTCAGGATTTTCTATCTCAACCTTTATCTTCAGATCGTTAAACACCGTCGAAGAGCGTTTCTTCCTCTTAGCCTTATCCCCCATCCTGGAATACAGATCAAACTTGGAAGGTTGTTTTTGTTAATTAATTAAACCTTTCGGGAAAAAACTATGAAAATGTTTGCATGATTAAATTCATTCAATATTTTTATTCCAACGCTTCATGAAAAACTAAAATTCATTCTTCCTTCTTAAAAACATGTTTTACCCATCGTGTTCAAAAGTTTTCGCTGAGTAAGGGGTTTGTAATATATGTAGTATATATATATATATTAAAAACATTTCCCTCATTTTTAAACAACAACCTGTCCTTAAAATATCTATTTATGTCAAATTGTAATGGGAGTTATTAAGTGCGAAAAAGTTTTTGCCGGGATTTTTATTTTGATCGAAAACAAACTAGAAAAATAAAAAATCACAGTAAATTTTTTTTTCGCACGCATGATACCCATGTCAATAACAATTATAGTTTTATTCAGTTTTAATCAAATTATTTAAAAGCAGGTCGATAAAGTTACTTAATCACCCTAATGAAGGGTGATTAAGTAACTTTATTACCCTACAATGAGAAAAATTAGGTATGAAATTTAAAATTTTAATAGTAGGGTGATAAAGTTACTTTTCGCCCTGTTGTAGGGCGATAAAGTCACTTAATCACCCTACAACGGGAAATACTCGGTGTGATAAATTGAATAAAAGTATAAAAACCTGATGCTGATCGAAGTACCGTGAAGAAAACTACAAAAAAAAGCTTGAAACTACATTTTGTTTCCTGTAACAAGAAATTTTTGCGATATAGTAGAAGAATTAAATATATCTTTTCTAAATGTATATATATATATATATATATAATGGTACCAGTACAAACGTCGGACCCACAAACGTCGGACGGTACAAACAAAAGCCTTACAAACGTTGGACAGTACAAACGTCGGACCAGTACAAACGTCGGACCAGTACAAACGTCAGACTGGTACAAACGTCGGACAAGTACAAACGTCGGACGGGTACATTTATAAGGAAAAACGTCGGACTAAGGAGGAAAAAATATATTTGAATTTTCAGATTAAATTTCTTGTAAGTTCGCAATTTTCTCTAAAAAAAATTCCCAATTTTTTTTGTTAAAAATTCATAATCTCACAAAGTCTGGATGCATGGACGGGGAGACTGCTAACTATATTGAGGTTAAGCAGGGGGGGACGGCACCTACTTGATTCAAATCAGTTTGAATATAGGGTTACAAAGAAGAAACACAACAAAACCGATTACAAATGCATTCAAAGGAAAACAATTCTTGAGAATGACAAGATTATCAGTTTCCTGGGAGAGCATACACATGACAGTGATCTTTTGAAGAAAAGAGTACGTGAAATAGAAACACAAGTAGTTAAAGAAAGCTCTGGAAATAAAGCAATAAGTCCACGAACTGTTCTTGGAAACATCTACAACATCGGGTTGCAAAGATATAGGGATTAAACTGTATGATCTTGTAGAATTCATAGTTTGAAATTGTTTAATACATTATATCCCATAAAAAGAAAAAATATGTTTTGAGGGTTTATAACAAAATATTACAAATTGTAATATTTTTGACCCCCCCCCCCCTCCCAAAATTAATCAAAATATGAAATCCCCTTTCTTTGCAGAGTTTAAGAATACTACTTACAATTTAATCATAATTCATGGCGTAACATGCAAAGCATAAAACGTTTAAAAACGTCAAAAATATCCTTTTCAACAAAATAATCTGTGATTTTCTTTATGTCCCGAACTTCTAAGCAGAACTTAACTTGACCATATATATAACACGAAGTATTTACAAGTTACATTTATTTACATGATTAGGTTTGAATAAAAGCAAATTTTAAATAGAGGGGGGGGGGGGTGTCTAGATAAATGAGGTTGTTACTCCAAACCACAAACCGTTGGGGAAAAAATATTCATAGCAGTAAGGGGACATACTTAAATAAGGCTTCTACTCGAAAAAGCTCACTAACTGTAGATTGAGATTTGTGATTTTTAATGTTTGTACTTTAAGGTTAGTCATTAGACAAAAAATTCTCATTCTTTATGTTAATCTTAAAATGGATTTCAAAACCAAATTTGCATACGACATAAAGAAATAATAAAATAAAGGTCAGTTAAGTTCTGTGAAAACCGTGCGTTTACATAAATTATTCGGGTTTGTATCACTTTTTCTTTTTTCATTATTTCGAGCAACGGTCACTCTGGGGGATGATCGCCTGTTCTCATCTGTCCTTTTACTCTTCAAAACATGATTTTTCTTCGCCTTGCTCGGTTGGTAGGAGGAGACTCCACTGTCCTTCGTAGCTGTGGTAATAACTGACGTTGCAAGCTTCGGAGGTTGACAGAAAACCTGGATGAACTCTCCAACAACCGAAACATTCTCCGTGATATAGTTGAGAAACTGGTCCAGGTGAGGGTTAGATACTGCAACCATGTTTGAAGCCTTGCTTTTGTAGAATGTATTAGGTGTCTTACTCTGATTAAACTCCGAATAGAAACAGTTGTCATCCGAGTTTTCACTCACAATTCTATCCACGGTGAGTCCTTTCCAAATATCCTGAACCTCAGATTTGTTCAACCCTAGCTCTGAGAAATATTTAATGGTAAGGGAAAGAAATGCGGGATGTTTAGAGATGAAAAGTCTGTCAAGAATATAATCCTCGTCAACTGTCCAACCCATCCTGAGCAATGAATCTGATCTCTGGTAGACCGAGGTAGGACTAAGAACTAGCAACATATCCGCAATACTAGAATCAAATCCTCGGATCAGCTGATCCAAACTGAGCTGATTTCTGATGATCTTCGCAGATTTAGAATCTCCCATGGTTTCTAGGTACGCACCTCTCTCTTTCAAAAGAGGAATAACTCGCTTCTTCTGGGTTAAAACATACTTTGCCACCTAAAATATGTCCGATTATAAACCAAGTAAATGAGATCAAAACAAGTGTTATATTTTGAATTCAAATTCATCAAATTACCTGGGAAATAGAGAGGTAGGAGAAGGAGAAGAGTGCCTCATGATAGAATGGTTGGGGTAGAATCAACCTCACAGCTACCTCAAACCTCAGCATAACCTCCTGGGCAACGATATACTTCTCCGTGATGAAATGAGAGAAAAAGCCCTGGTCCGGAGAATGCTCCGAGCGGGCAGAGGCGAGAGCAGTCTCCGCTAGTTCTCCGATGTGTGCAGAGAGATCTATGATTGACGAGAGTGGGTTCTCACAGTTAGTACTGGAGTCTAGGAAGAGACCATCCTTCATCTCTATTATTCTCTTGTACTCTACGGCGGACCAGAACTTTAACAACTCGAAGTACGCGTCCAACACTAGCAACTGGAACAAAACTTATAAGAACAACTTTAAGTGACTGTTTAATACATAAAGTGACCCCTCCGTTTGTAGAGCGTCATGTTCGATTAAGAACGTTTTGCGCTTAAATCCCAAATCTCGACGATTAACCTTCCTAATCTCAAAAAGGTCCATTAAGTTTCAGCTTAAAAATAAACGAATTGAAAATTTTGCATTTATTAAAAATTCAGAAAATCTAGAAGAAATGATTATGACCTGGATCCAGATTCATTTTCAGGGTGGATCCAGGATCTGGGTCCATGTCCAAATGAAATGAATCCTGGGCACTGCTTTAAACTTTTTATGATAGAAGAGCAGCTAAATATTCCCCTACCTTGTTTAATAAATATTACCTTATCTATAAGCGTGTATACGTGAAAGTGTTGTTCAACTTGTGAGAGAATAGTATCATATATCTCCTTGAATTCAGTTATCTGACAGACCTTGATCAAACCAAGAATCTCATCAAAGAACTGTTCACCATCCCAGTCAATCAAGAACTCGTGCAAGAATCTGAACAATAAATTATTTAACTTTTTAAAATATAAAAACTTGGGTATGATATTTAAGCAGTTGAATTATATTTAACTATTGGATAAGAAGGAAAAAGCCTAAAAAGAACATTTTGCAAAATACAATACAGAAGTTTAAAGCGCTTTCTAGAAAAAATTGTGGAAAATGTAGTAATATAACTGATCATTTATAATCTATGAAAGTAATTTCATATGACTCTTAATTTCAATAGTCACAAGCTCGATTTACAACGGTACCAGAAATAGCATTTTTTCTATCCAGAAAATTGTCTCAATTCTACTTAAAACGTCCGTAAATCCGCAAGCCAAAGGGGAATGTCCACATTTCCATACAAAGGGTGAGATATTTCTCTCTGATTCTTTGCATGCAGGCCTGAATTGTGATCTAGTTTTTTAATCAAACATCAAAATGTAGGAAAAATTTCCCCTCTTATTTTTCCTCTTATTAATATTAGGTCGGGAAACTCAATTCTGGATTTTATAATGCATTTCCCGCTCTCCTTATATCATTCCCCCCCCCCTTTCCCGCATTTTCCCTCTCCTAAAGGCCAAAGAAGCCTCCGGACTTTATTACTAGAGATTTCTCTCTGATTTTTTGCATGCAGACCTCAATTGAATCAAAACCCAAAGTGGGGGGAAAATAATTTTCCACTGATTTTCCCCGCATTTTCCGGTCATAGTTTTCAAAAACTTTGCGCTAGGTCCATGTGGGGTGTCTAAAGTCATATACATTGGGTCGGGAAACCCAATTCTGGATGTTATAATCCATNTAAACAAAATAAAGAAAAAATCCAAGTTGTAAAGTTTACAATGACTCTCTACGAGTTGAAACCTCACGTTTCCTATTTTCAAACTTAAACATGATGTTTTTCTCCCTTAAAGGCCAAGAAGCCTTCTGACCTTTTAACTCAAGATTTCTCTCTGATTTTTTGCATGCAAACCTGAATTGTGATCTAGTTTTTTAATCAAACAACAAAATGTAGGAAAAATAATTTCTCCCCTTATTTTTCAGATATTTTTTCAAAAACTTTGTGATAGGTCCATGTGGGGTGTCTAAACTCATTAACTTTGGGATAGTAAACTTAATTTTGGACTCTATATTGCATTTCCCTTTCTCCTTATATAATTCCCCCCCCTTTTCCCGCATTTTCTCCCTCCTTAAGACCATAGAAGCCTTCAGACTTCATTACTAGCAATTTCTCTCTTATTTTTGCATGCAGACCTGAATTGTGATCTAGTTATAAAATCAAAAACCAAAGTGGGGAGAAAATTATTTTTCCCCTGTCTAAATTCATCAACATTGGGTGGGGAAACTCAATTCTGGAATCTATTAATAGAGATTTCTCTTTGATTTTTGCATGCAGAGCTGAATTGTGATCTAGTTTTGAATCAAACAAAATTTGGGAGAAAAAAAATGTTCCCGCATTTTTCATGTTTTTTTCGAAAACTTTGTGATAATTCCATGTTTACCTCACAAATTATTCTGTAAAAAAACTAAATTAATAAAGATGATTTCTTGCAATTAATTCTTTTTTAGGACTAAATGTTATATATAATTTTATCATTTTATGAACAATTAAGTTTTGATGTTATATATAATAATCCTTTTTATTCTATGCTCAGTGATTCATCATCTAACTTAAATGTAATATAATATTGGCTATAAATTATTATCATATTTATTAAGAATGGTTTTCTCAGTTATTTATATGTTTAATCTTTTGAATATTATTATATGTATCTCATGATTTTTAGCAAATGGAAATAATTCCAATTTTTTTTTGTAAAATTGGAAATTAAAAAAAAAATATATTAAAATCATCAAAACTGAATTGTTCATAAAATTATATATAACATTTAGTCCTAAAAAAGAATTACTTACAAGAAATCATCTTTATTAATTCAGTTTTTTACAGAATAATTGGTGAGGTAAACATGGACTAATCACGAAGTTTTTGCAAAAAACCTGAAAAATGCGGAAAAATTTTTTTTCACATATTTTGTTTGATTCAAAACTAGATCACAATTCAGCTCTGCATGCGAAAATCACAGAGAAATCTCTATAGTTATAAAGTCAGAAGGCTTCATTGGATTTTAGGAGGAAAAAAGGGGGGGGGACGGTATAAGGAGAGGGGGAAATGCATTATAAAATCCAGAATTGAGTTTCCCGACCCAATGTTGATAACTTTAGATACCCCACATGGACCTAACACAAAGTTTTTGAAAAAATGTCTGAAAAATGGGGAAAAAATATTTTTCCTACATTTTGTTGTTAAATTAAAAAACTAGATCACAATTCAGGTCTGCATGCAAAAATTCAGAGAGAAATCTCTAGTTATAAAGTCCGAAAGCTTCTTGGCCTTTAAGGGAGAAAATGTGGGAAAGGGGGGAAATGGTATAAGGAGAGGGGGAAATGGATTATAGAGTCCAGAATTGAGTTTCCCGACCCAATGTTTATGACTTTAGACACCCCACATGGACCTAGCGCAAAGTTTTTGAAAACTATGACCGGAAAATGCGGGAAAACTCAGGGGGAAAATTTTTGTTTTTGATTCAAAAACTACATCACAATTGAGGTCTGCATGCAAGAAACAAAGAGAAATCTCTAGTAATAAAGTCAGGAGGCGTCTTTGGCCTTTAGGAGGGGGGAAATGCGGGAAAGGGGGGGGAAATGGTATAAGGAGAGCGGGAAATGCATTTTAAAATCCAGAATTGAGTTTCCCGACCTAATATTAAAGACTTTAGACACCCCACATGGACCTAAAGTTTTTGAAAAAATGCCCGAAAACTGCGGGAAAAATAAGGGGGAAAATTATTTTTCCCCACTCTGGTGTTTGATTCAAAAACTAGATCACAATTCAGGCCTGCATACAAAAAATCAGAGAGAAATCTCTAAAAACAAAGTCAGAAGGCCCCCCCCCACCCTTTGTATGGAAATGTGGACATTCCCCTTTATAGAAATAGTTGTGAATTGTGCATACAACGTCGACATATTGGATACTTTTCGTACCAATATATCTTACTGTTTTTACCTTCCTACTACAGGGATTCCATGGAAACAGTGAATTTGGAACTCCATGAGTATTTTAAGAAATCTCCTCTGGCGTTTATTCCTTCTCTCCCTCTCACTTTTACTCCGCGGAGTTGGAAGTGACGAGAATTCTTTACTGAGCGTGTGGTAAAGAACTATGCAGAATCTCTCTATCAACTCCTTTCTTGGTAATATGTTACACGCCGCCTTACAACCCAGGACGGAGAGAATATTATTCGGTAATTCTACGTTCTCCAGGTCTTCAGTAGACTCAATACATTGCAGAGGTATTTTCCTATTCCGTTTACTCTGTAGACCTCCTTCAAGGTTCAAAGTTTCTGCCGAGGGAAGGAGTGTTTGCTTTAATCTATCCTTGAATATTACATTGGTTGCCAGCTGCCCGGGCTCCCAACCTAAACCTGAGAGAACCTTCTCTACTCCAGCATCAGATATTCTTCTGAATCGTTTGTTGAGTATTGTGTTAGATGTGCTTTTTCCAACAGTAGGAGGACAGCTTGGCTCCAGGTCAGGTCGAAGCTGCCGGAACCTGCACAGAAGAGCACTCACATTATTACCGAGACCGATATTTTTACTGATCTTACGGAAATATTTGACCCTTCGATCATCAACGTCCATTTTCTTAGTTATTTTCACAAGTATTGCTATTATTGTGTTAAAGTTAGTTTGATTTTCCAGTCTTGAGAGAAGAAGTTCATATGCATGGTAAAGAGGAGCTCTTTCTTTAACAAGATCATTTTCCAGGCAAAGATTCACGATTTGAAGGAAAGACGACGCAACATACTTTGAAATGTCTACAAAGTCTCCTAATGCCCAGAGGATAAGATCCACGAGAAACTTGCCTAAAATATAAACAAAATAAAGAAAAAATCCAAGTTGTAAAGTTTACAATGACTCTCTACGAGTTGAAACCTCACGTTTCCTATTTTCAAACTTAAACATGATGTTCTGTATGTTTTCTGAATACCAAAAAACTACAGTAAAAGCTTATTAGTTATAAAATTACCTTGGACTGGTTGATTTGGAACTAAGCAATTAACAAAGCGTCGACTGATCTGAGCTGGCATACGTCTCTCCACCAAAACACTGGAGAGCTTGGTAAACTCAAGGCAGGTAAACCCACCATTATCCGCCCTAACTTCTAGGTATCCAAGATGCCGAAGGAGTTCAGCATTCTTTACAACATTCCCAGATCCTTCAAGGAAATAGTTTATGGATTGATCTTCTGTCATTCTCTACATTCTTGATATATCTGAAATTATTTTATAGAAAAAGATTTGATTATTTCCTGGTTCTTCAATGAGAAGATATCTATGATTGATGAGGATCCAGCAGTAAGTATAATTCCTTTCTCCTCCTGCGCTACTATACTGTAGATACATCCAGAGCTCACTTTCTCCGCAGAACATGTCTCGCCACCGAAATTGCTCTGCAATAAAAATGCGTTTTTAAATAGAAAAAATTAAAAATTAAAGAAATATTTCTATTGAAAATATAAAAATAAGGTTGATAATAATATATGTATAAAAACGCAAAATTCCACTTTCCGTGTGTAACATCGGGTTCTGTCCAGCAATACATATTTGATCTTCTATAAGGTTTGATGCAAAAACAGCTCCGTGGTCTGGTGGTAACCTGCTGCTCATAATCCTGGTAGATAGGTTCCAGAGTGATGCAGCAGGACCTCCACCACACACCAACCAGTCTCCAGCAGTACACACAGTAGAGATAAACCGTCCACACTCAGGACGGTTCAGCTCCGACTCCAGGTAGGGACAGAAGGAGTGTATCAGCGGGTTGGATTTCCTAGGGAGAAGTATTTCGTAAATCTCCGTGAATACTTAAAAATCAGTATTCAAAGTAAAATTTATACTCTTGTATATTCTCCATAGTCTACCTAGTATCCCAGAGCTTTACGTCCCCGTCCTCGCCGCCGCTGATCAGACTCACTCCGCCGCTACCGTCCGCCCCGGCTACACAGTGTACAAACTGTGTGTGTCCGGTGAGAACCTTGTCTAATCTTCTTGTCTCCAGATCATAAATATATATGTTTCCGTCACTGCATCCCACATATACACGGCCAGATGATCCAGCCTACACAATATTTTTGACAATAAACATGGGAATTAAATAAAATTCTAGGCTAGGATCTAAGCTTCGCAAAAATTGACGGAAATCAAAGATGTTTTTAACAACTTCTGATTTTCTGCGTCAATTATGGAAGTACAAAACTTGCAGGCAACATTTATAAAATCAGAATTGTGCTATCTAAAAATACCGCATGGATTATACACGATGTTTATTTAAAAACCAGTTTTTTTTGTAACATATTGTAGTTTTTTATTAGTATAATAAAATCCATATACATTGAAATACCTGTCTGTCCAGATCTATCCAGTTTATCTGAGTTGAACGGCCAGTAGCTCCAACATGGAAACTCCAGGCCGGTTTCTCCGTCTTAGTCTTAAACCCATTCCAACACCAACCCCGAACCTCACCTAACCCTCCAGATATCAGAAAACTAAACAAACAAAATTCAACATTTATTTACTTATATTGAAGGGCCCGGCGTTGCCCGCGGAAAAATAATTTGAATTATTTTTAATAAAAAAAAAAATTTTAGCCGTTAACACCCAACCACCCATGAGTGTCCACAAAAAATTGCAGCCCGTTTGGTCCAGCCGTTTGACCGGCTATAGGCAACATACATATGAATGTCTTGTTTTATTATATAGAAGATTATTTCGACACTTGACTTTCAGTTATGGCAAAATTATAAGTACAGGGTAAAAAAAATATTTGAAATAAAATTCTACAGTACTTCTTTAAAGGTGCAAAATTTTAACAAAAAAGGTTAAGTTTTAGGCTTGTGTACTTATGTTATAGGCTAGGACACCACTACAAAATACACACATAAATGCAATATCTTAATAAGAAATAATTATGGTTTAAAATATTATTTAAGGAATATTTAAAATTAAAATAATATACTATAGATCAATCAGTGCAGATAAAAACGCGAAGTAAAAATAATAGAATTAAGTTTGACTATTTTAAACAACTTAGGGACAGAAATAACGAAATTATAAAGGGTTCTTGTGACATTAATAAACAGTTTTGAGGGTAAATGTTCAATATTTCACCCCCCTTTGCATGCAAACCTGANGGGGGGGGGGGTATTAGATTTTTTTCTGTTCCGTTTATTCTAACTTCTTACTTTTCCGTGCTTGTAAGAGAGTATATGGGTTCTTCTCCATGTGCTGCAAAGGATAGAAGAGGTTTAGGTGAGGAGTTGGAGAGAAGGGAATCAACCTCCCAGACACTGATCAACCCGGACTCCGTGCAGGCCGAGTAGAACGATCCACCGGGGCACATGGTCTGGCATGTTACCGTGGTGTACTGAGGTAACAAGGATATATCCCGCATTTTGTCTACAATTTAAACAAACTTCTGGTAAATAATATTTGGTATCTACTAATAATAAAATTAAACAATTAAAGCTGGCAAGATGTAGGATAAATTTTCTAAATTATCCCATCCAATTTTTAATTAAATACTATCTTTATTCATCAAGGTAAATAATTTTTCAAGATGTTTCAGAAACAATCTTGAAGTCAACAAAGGTAAAATTGAGTCATGCATTAAATTAAAGAAAAGTTTCTGTTGTAACGTTTGAGCTTATTCTTTGTTAAAACCCCTTCTTGACAATTGAGAAGGGTTCAAATGTTTAGTCCGTAAAATTAATTTAACGTTGCTAAAAAACAAACGACGCGGCGCCGATCGAAAAATCGTTAGAAAACACATATTAGGTAAATATCCTAGAGTCCGAAATCGCAAGCTGATAAACATATGGATTATAACAATATGCATGAGCTGAAGCATCCCGGGCCCCGGGGTTCTCTCTCCTTCTTTTTTCTCTCTTTGTCCTTCTTTATCTCACGCACTAGTGTGTAAAAAGCGTCGTCGACACCCATTCTAGTTTTGGCAGAGGTCTCGACAAATGGAATTCCATAATTAGTTGCGGCACTCCTAGCTTGCTGCATATCAATACTACGTGTTGGAAGATCACACTTGTTTCCAACCATCACCATCGGAACCTCCTCAGCATCCTTTACACGCTTTATCTGCTCCCGGTACGCTGTTATATCCTCAAATGATTTGGCGTTGTTGACTGCGAATACTATGAGGAAACCCTCTCCTGTCCTCATGTATTGATCTCTCATTGCACTATACTCCTCCTGTCCGGCCGTATCAAGGATGTCTAATAGACATGTTTCTCCGTCTATCACAACCTGAAACAATCAGAAAATGTAAAAAAAATTGCGAATTAATATTGTGATTCCTTCAATCAAAAATACCCATCCCTTTCAAGCGTTTCTTACAGGGTGTGTGCATTTTTTTAAAAAGGGTTAATTTGAATAACTTAAATTAAAATAACTGTATTGGTATTTTTACCGATCCGAAGCTTTTCGGATAAAACATAGTTAACCATCGGATCAAACTTAAAGTATTGATACAACAGCTAAAAAATCTGAACAATAGACTTTGGAACTCAATCACTTATATATCAGGTAGAGAATAGTGCATAAAGCAACTTCAAACATGATTTTATAATTATCCAAAATATAATTTTCAATATGGCTTTTTTCACGTTTAAGAAAAATTCGAAGACGGAGATTTTGGGACTTATTACTGCACAGTTCCCTAGTTGACAAAACCCCTGTGACACTAGGCCTGAGATTAACAAGACTATACACATCGAATGAGACTTCAGAGACGACTGCAAAAAATGTTTTAGACTTTCTTTTTGCATTCTTGTAAACAAGAAAGAATATTAAAATTAAAAACTTCATATCAAAGTAACAAAGTTCCAGGTCATTTATGGATAAAATATTACCTGCTTCCTATAACTATCCTCTATAGTTGGATCATATTCGTCGACAAAATGGTTTTGAATGAGCTGAATAGTTAGCGCAGATTTACCCACGCCCCCAGCACCAACAACAACCAACTTATATTCGGTCATTCTCCTGAAATATTAACATGTTCTTAATCATCATCAGTTCTGCATCATCAGTTTTACATCATCATCAGTTCTTAATCATCTTTAGTTCTACATCATCATCAGTCCTTAATCATCATCAGTTCTATATCATCATTGGTTTTACGTCATCATCATTTCCTAATAATCACAATTTCTTAATCATCATCAGTTCATCGTACATAAGGAAATTACCAAAATCTATATTATTGTAAAAGTTTAAAATAAACATTTTTTTATAGATTGGGGGGAGGGCGAGGGTGGCTAGCCCGTGCAGGTAGCTTTGTTAACTGAGA